GCAGAGCAAGCCTGCATCTTGCACTTGGTGTTTGCAGAAGTCATTTTGACCCTGTCGATAGCTTTTGCCTTCACTATGGACACAGGAGTCCCGGACTGCTCCCTGTCTACACAGGGGGCTCAGAGAGGCCAGCCTGGGAGATGGAGAAAGTGGGAAACAAGAACAGCTCCCTGGGAGGCCCCCAAGTGTACCTCAGGTTTCCTGGGCACCCAGAGGACCCAGAGGCCAGGTAGAAGGAGGTGCTGGTTTTGCCTAGATCCTTGGCATTTCCACCACCCCGCCCCCCACAAGAGAGACTGGAGCCCAGTGCCCCCTGCTGCCGGAGCTCAGGCTGCACCCCGCAGAGGCCCCTCTACCCTTCCCTGTTCTCCACACACCCACACACCCACACACCATAGATCTAGATGTGCTGGGCAAGCCCCCAGGGGGCAGAGGTCACTTCCGAAGTCCCCCAGGGAGCAGGAGATGACACTGGGGGTGGGCTGGTGGCAGGAAAAAGAGCAGGTCACTTCACATCTCAAAGCGTCTGCCAGGGGGACACATATGCTTATGGCCCCCTGCCCACCCCCCACTGTGGGGGGCGGGAACAGCTGCTGCTGATCCCCTCTGGCCAGAGCCTCCCTGGGGGCGGGGCAGAAACCTCGACGGAGGGCTGCCTCTGGGCCCAAACATAAGCCTTGAATCAAACTCAGCAGCCCCCCTAAACAGGCATCCCCATCCTTGGGACTCAACAGGGTGATGTGACGTGAGCAGCCAGCAAGCCCTCAAGGCCTCAGGTCAGCTTTGGCACGTTCATCTTCTTTCATCTTCACCGTGACCCTGGGAGGTCGCAGGTGAGAGATCCTAAGGAGGGAGCAGGACCTGGCCCACCTCCGGAGGTGAGAAGGGAGGACCTGTCACATGGCTGCCAAGCCCTCAGGTTTCCTGGAGAATCCTCCCCTCCCAAAAATCCCCAAGGATGACCCTCCTCGGCCTCAAGGACAAGATGGTCAGGGACGCCCCCTCCGCCCCAGCTGCTGGCAGTCCCTTTACTCCCCAGACATGCAAGCAAGAGTCCCCGCTGCCAGCCCGCCTGCAGTTTATCCTCCTTTCATTTTCTATCCAACCCTTTTGGTCTGCTCCTTGCCGGGTTGCCCTGACTCCCGCCCAGGGGAGTGCGCGGTGTCTCTGCAAGAGAACCACAGATAGCATCATCTCCCTTACAGAGGAGGACACTGAGGCACAGAGGGTGCACGTGACGGCGTCAGGGTCACACAGCCATTCAGTGGCTGGTGAGGATGCCTGCTCCTGCTCCCTGCCCTCACCCGCTCCCGGCCAGGGGGCTCCATCCTGCTCTCCTCTGCCCTGTGAACCCCATCCTGGACCCCACTGGTCTCGGAGGCTTCTCTCTCTCTCAATCCATCCAAGATGCTTGCAAGCTAACGTCACCCCAACTTCAGAAAAGCAGCAAATCACCTTGTTGGGCTCATTCTCTCTCAGAAACTCCTGGGCCCCCACTGACTCACATGTGGCCTCCCTTGTCTCCCAAATGTCCCACTGGGTCTCACCTCCCAGCCTTTGCCCAGGCAGGCTCCCTCCATTCAGCCCATCCCCCTACTCCTCCAAGAACCACCACCTCCAGGAAGCCACCCTGATGAAGCCCAGGAGGGCTTTCCTGAGCCAAGCCCGGTGCCTCGGGGACTGGTCTGTTCCTGCCTTCCCTGCGGGCAGCAGCTCTTTAGGCTGGGCCTCCGTCTACGTGTGCCCTGAGCAGAGGCCTGCGGGCCGGGCAGAGGGGAGAAGCCAGGCTCCAGGCGAAGGTCCAGCTCCAACCTTGGACACCCACCCCCGCCACCACGGTGACAGCTGGCAGCCCACCCCAGCAGAAACACCTGATCTGTTTGTCAAGAACACAGGTTCTCAGGCTGCATCCTAGACCTACCTATTCACTTCCACGTTCTCTAGGCGGGGCGCAGGAATGTGCATTTAACCAACCTCCCAATGTCCTAAGACATGTGGACATTTGTCAACAACTGCCCTTCACCTTACAAATCACATGCTGGTTTCCTATTAGATCTGCTTCTTACAGAGTCTGTTCAGCTTAACAGTCGCCCGGGGTGCTCAGTCAACAACAGGGCAGAAGGGGAAAACAAGAGCTCTGCCTTGAGGGGCTCTGTCCGGTTCGGGACATGGGGAGCCTGCAGTGCGTTACTGGAGACCCAGAGGAGAGAGAAGATGGAGAGGAAGGAGTTCTTAGAAGAGGCACTGTTCCAGCTGGGTTTTGAAGTGTGTGTAGGAGTTTTCCAGGGAGATGAAGGTCAGGGGAACAGCAGTGTTTTTAAAGATGGAGCAGTGAGGACCCCTGGGTGGCTCAGCGGTTGAGCGTAGGTCGTGATCCCCGGGTGCTGGGATCGAGTCCATCACTGGGCTCCCGACAGGGAGCCGGTCTCCCTCTGCCTGTGTCTCTGCCTCTCTCTGCCTCTCATGAATAAATAAAATCTTTTTAAAAATAAAGATGGAGTAGTGAGAAAACCAAACAATATGGGAGTCTAATGAGTTCTTGGGGGGTTGAGGACTGGTTGGTTGGGCTTGGAAGACAGAGTGGGCCCTCCCCAGGTGACAGGAGGCCATGAGCTCTCCCTATACCCTGCAAACACCCCTGTGTTGGGTCAGGGCCACCAGCCCTCAGAGGAGACAGAAGTGCTAGATAGTGTCAGCTCTGAGGCCATGGGGTCAGAGGCTGGCAGAGATGACCGTGTGGACTAAGACTTGTGCCCCACCCCCATCACTCTGGTCTGACTGCAGCTTAGGGAGGGGCCAAGGGATTCTGGGTGGCACCAGCATGTGTGGCCAAATCCTGGTGGCTGGCGTGGTCAACACAAGCTGACCTGTCCCGGGCTCCAGATGGGGCTGACCTATATGCTGACCAGGCAGGTCCCAGCCAGGACAAGACCCTTTGCTGGCCCGACACTGCCACCTGCCTGCCGGCCTCAATAGTACATACAGTCCAGATGCCCGGCCAGATGCTGTAGATGGAGGAGCACAAGGCCCACTGCCACTGGGGGCAGGCACTCACAATGTCCCCAAGGCTACACAGAACATTATCACTAGGCCAGGCTCCAGGCCTCTGCTCATTTTGCCTCATGGCACAGGCCTGCAGGAGAAACAGGGTGATACAGAGTGCCAGGGAGGTTGGGCAGTTACCTGGACTTAGACCCGTCCTCTGCCCCATTCCTGGGGCCTCCCGGATACACACCCTCAGCAGTGGGGAGGTGGGGTGCTGGCTACCCCGGGAAGCTAGGTAGCACCAGACTGGAGGCTGGGAAGGGGATGGCAATTTCTGCCTCCAGTGGATCCTGGTTCTCTCTATGCCTGCCCAAATCCCATGGGGTCTCTACAGTGCTGAGGGTAAGGCTGGGGTCTGACGTCTGGTGAGGGCCAGGGATGCCCTGGGCCTGCAGCCACCCTTGCTGGCGACTCCTCATTGGAGCCTTGCAAGACTGGTTCCGAACTGAATAAACACTATCCCCTTGGCCAGGCACACCTGTTTGCAAACGGGCTGGGACAGCCTGGGTCCCTCCCCGGGTGGACCAAGGGGCCAGCACCCACTGGGCTGAGAGGCCAAGGGGCAGGGACAGGGCATATTCCAGGACCATGACGTCCAGGCTCGGCATGATGAGCAGAAAGAGAACCTGCCCTGCTTAGAAGACCTACGAGCTTCATCTCTAGCTCCTGATCCCTATGAGCTAGAGATCCAAAGTCCTCAAAGCTCCCAAGGGTTTCAGGGTCCTGGAGACCCAGGGCCGCCCCCAAGAGCAGACCCAGAACTAGGCATGGCAGCCAGAGGCCTTCCCACGGTGTGCATGTCCTAGCTGCCTGCTGTCTGTCTGCACTAGGCAGTCGAGGGGCTGTGGCCTAGCCTCATTCGGCAGACAGAACCTGAGAGGGACACAAGTCGGTGGCTGCTCGCCCCACACAGCAGGGCTGGCCTTGGCTCTGCTGGGGTGGAGTTTTTCTGAATTCAGACCAGCAACACGGGGGTGGCTGACAGATGGGTACTTGGCTCTCGGCTGCAGGGGGGGCACTTAGGCCAGGCCAGACTAGGGGGAGGTGCTCCTCCCTCTGGATGGACAGACGGTGGGTACCTGCACACACAGGCATGCAGATGGGACGGTGGGCAGCAAGGATTCCCGAATGTCCTTCTTCAATCACACCCACCCAGCTGGGCAGTGGGGGCTGAGACTGGCACCTGTGAGCCAGGACCGGGCGAGTCTGGAGGACGCAGCAGAGGCCAGGGGTGCCGACGAGGTGTACGTAGCGGGGAGGAGCAGGTGAGGGGTGACAGGGACGCTGCCAGTGCCCGTGGCAGACAGACACCGCATCTGCCCAAGGCCGAGAATGGCAGCCCGTCTGAAACCCAGGATCTGCTCATAAGGAACACGGGAGGTGAAGAGCAGACTCGTTTTGGGGATGTGTCCCACTAAAACTGCAAGAAGCAACTTGGTGGCTATTTCAAGGCACAGGCTGGTGAGGACTGCTGTCTCTTCTGTCTTGTGTTTGAAGAAGGTGGTGACGGCAAGGGGTCCGATTCTTAATACGATGTTGGCACGAATGAAATTAAAAGTATTTAACGATTACAGATCGATGGTGGTGAACCTGAACATCCTCACCGTAAGCGTGATGCTCTCTCCATGGGTGTGAGAGCGGGGAGCCCTCCCCCCAGGGGCGTGAGGACACGATACCCCTACACACACACAGGGTGCACACACTGGTGTGCATACTTGGTACCGTCCCTTCCCAGGGAGGAATGTCTAACACCCTAACCACGGGTGTGACTGTGGATGCCCTCACGGTGACTCTCCGACCCTGGGCAGAAATAACCGCAGAGGGAACATGTCGGGGGCATTTCGTTCGGGGGGAGATTTCCTTGCCCCTCCAGGTTATGCTCCTGCTGTCCCCCGAAACTCCAGGTGCCCGCCCTCTGGCCGCCCTGTCCAAGCTAGAGAAGACACCTTTGTCACTTGAGTATAATTCGCTTTTTAATGAGAACAATGTGTGTAAATGACAGAACGCCACCGCCGTGCGCAGGTGGCGGTCACAGAATACCCATCAAGTTTATTCTGCCCAAGGAAGGGAAGGAGGGAGGGCGCAGGGTGCTCACGAGCCGCAGCCCCGCCCCCCAGGCCTGTGGCCGATGGGCTCACTGCCTGGCGGCCTGCACACGCCTCTTGAACGATAAGCAGAGATCGAAAGCACAGCAGCAATAATACTGGGTAAAGTCCTTCCTTGCGTAAAACATCTGAATTAATTCATTGAAGGTATCAAAAATATACCCTGTAAACCAATACATCATTTACACCTGCCTTTCCTTCCCACCCACCGCTGCGGCGACGCTGTGTGAGATAGTCCAGTTCCTCGGAGCGTCCGCTCGCCCCAGACCGCACCCTTTCGCCCGCCCATCCGGCCCAACTGGGTTTCCGGCAGTCTTGTTGACTGGGGCAGTCCGTGGAGCCCGGGACAAGAGCGTGGGGGGCTGAACAGGGCCCGTGTCCGTCTGTCCAGAGCGAGAAGCGGAATGGGGACAAGGGAGGGTGCGGGGGCTGCTAGCTCAGTTTAGACTTTGGTTCCAAATGTGATAAGGGGGGAGGCAGTGGCGTGGGAGGTGCGTGGTCATCCTGCTTTGGGTCCCTGGCCGCCCCGGCTGCGTGCGTGTGGCCACCACACACCACCGCGCCCCCTCCCTGGCCCCTCCCCTCCCGAGCACCAGGTAAACATCCCCTGAGTAAGGTCACTGCACAGGACCAGCCCGGGGCGGGAGTCGTAGTTAAGGCTTTAGACAGGCAAGGATGCCAGCTCTGGACGGACGGACGGGCGCGCAGGCAGACTCAGGGGCTCCTTCCTCAGTGGGGGAAGTCGGCGGCTGCCCCACTCCTTGCCCCGCTGTTCTGGCCACTCGCTGGGTCCCGGTGCCGCCCCCCACCCCGTTCTGACAGTCACTCGCTGTCGGAGAGCGTCTCGTACTGAGAGCAGAGCAGCGGCTTGGGCTCCTCGTCCCAGGCATGGTGGGGGCCGGCAAGGGGCCCGCTGCCTGCAGGGAGGCCAGGTGGGGGTGGGGAGGCCATGACACCCGCCTGGAGCCGCATGATCAGGGGGTTGTAAGGAAATGGTGTGGAACCTGCCAGAAAGACCAGGAGAGACCATCAGGAGGCCCCCATGGCCTGGGCACTCCAGGCCCACCCGCCCATCTCACCTCACTTCAGCTTCCCATGTCTGGCCACTGTCGCAACACATCTTAACTCCTGCGAGGTTTCTCAAAACCGCAAGTGTCTCCTCACCAATGCCACCCCCGCCCCATCATCATGCCCTGGCCACCTGTCACCTAGACCAGCAGCGGCCTCTCTGCAGTTCCTGCCCTTGCTCCTTGGTTCTGTTCTACAGCCAAGGGCTCTCTTGAACCTACATCAGATCAAGCACTTCCCCATTTACAACCTTCCAGGGGCTCCTCATGCTCACGAAGCAAACTTGGCTCCATGACCCGCAAAGCCTGTGGTATCGGCTCCCTCCTCGCTCCCTGAACCTTCCCTTTTCTCCGGTCAGGGCCAGAGGCCAGCATCCCTGGACAGCATGCAACACACCCCCTCTCCCTACCTGGGCCCCAGTTATCATAAAAGAGGTCAGAGCACACACTCTGCACACAGTAGGTGCTCAGGCACCCCTGATCACCCGGGCCCCCTGCCTGTGGGCAGCCAGCAGGCCCACGCACCCACCGCTCCCCGATGCGCACCTGCCGATGAAGGCCGGTCCTCCCACACGCGGTTGGTGAGCGGGGTCCGGCGGTTGCAGTCCCCCTCCGAGTGTACCGAGGACACGGAGGGCGGCCGGTCCCCAGATGCCAGGCCCGGGGCTGGGGACTTGGCTTTTCGGCTGCTGGGTCTGCCAGAGACTTTGGCCTTTCCACCACCACCTGTGAGGGGACACATGGAAAAGGGTGATGTCAAGATTGTGGAGATGGCACTCATGTGGGGGTAGGGGTGGTGGTGGTGGGGAGGCCCCCAGGAGGGGCAGGACGCGTCAACCTGATGGACAGACCCAGCCCTGGGCCTGATTCTGGAGGTGGGTTTCTACTAGGGGAGTGGGATGAACTACTTTCAAAAGCCACTCAGGCTGCCCTGAGGCCCACCTGCCACCCAGGGCACGAAGCCTTAGGCCTCTGGCTTGACCCGGACCATTGCCCCAGGACTGTGCTGCGGCTGGGAAGGCTATAAGCCCTTTGCAGAGAAGCTGGGACCCCTGGGGCCAGGCCTGGGCCCCCACTAAGTCCAGAAACTCTTCCTGGGACCAAACCGTCCAGGTTGGACAAATGGGCCCTAGGTCTCCCTGCTCGGCCCTTGCTCAGACATGCAGAGGTACAGAGAGAGAGAGCTGGCTCCTCTGGCTTCCCTGACTCCTCTGAGTTTGGGCCTGGCACACAGAAAGTGGTCTCCTCACCATCAGATCCTAAGTCAGCCAGGGTCACACACAGGTGGCCCCAGTGGATGTCCAGCCCACGGGCCTGGCTGTCATGAGCCAGGCTGCCACGAGCCCAGGGGTCAGCCTGACCCACACAGAGGTGGGCCCTTTGCTCTAGCCTGATTTCCCCCAAGGAGACACAAAATGGGCCCGGACGCAGGCATCCCAGGGACCTGTGTCCAGCAGGGGAGGAAGGCAGGGCAGGGCTCGGACAGCAGTGAGTGTTTTTAGAAAAGCAGCAGCTCCTTTGGACCTAGTGGGAAGGGGAGATGGGTGGGGGCTGGGGCCGTGCCCGCCCAGATGGGGATTAGCCGACTCCAAAACCACGTCAAACAGGCACAAAAATAAAGTCACAAGCTCCAAAGCTGGAGGGGGCTGGTCAGAGGACTGCGGAGGCACAAGATTACGGACACTGGGATGGGGACAGGCGGGGCGGGTGGGGCTGGAGGGCCGAGGCAGGGGAGGCCTGCAGACCTGGCGAGGTGAGTGCGTGTTCGCTCCGTCCGTCAGCAGCGGTTATGGGTATAGCAGCGGGCAGGCTGGCACTGGCATTCAGAGGGTTAAAAGCATTGGCGCTGAGCGGGGGCTCCTCCCACTGATCATATTTACCCATGAGCGCCTTTCTAATAATGGCCTCCAGCCCCATGTTGGTGCTGGCATGCTCCTGCACCGCCTGGCTTCTGCAGGTCATAAGGCCTGGGAGAGAGACACACACACACACACACACACACACACAAACACACACACACACACGGGGCCAGGAAGGGCCGGAGGGACAACAGACAGAGGGAGAGAGAAGCAGAAAGAAGGGAGAGAGAGGAGAAGAGAGAATACACAGTGAACACATTTTGGCAAAGCAACATGTTTCTTCATTTCCCTAGTCCCCCCCCCCCCCCTCATTTTCCTACAGCGTGTTGATGGGGTAGACTTGGGCCCTGGGGGTTAGGGGGTTGGGAGGCAAGGTGACCACCCCCAGTCTCTCCCACTCTGCCCTCTGGGGTATCAGAAGCCCCGCTGGCCCCACAAATCCCAGCTGGGGCTGCTTCTCTTCTAAAATTCCAAGGGGCCTTGAGATGGAATCGGGGAAGGGGTGTGTGTGTGTGTGTGTGTGTGTGTGTGTGTGTGTGTGTGTGTGTGTGTCAGGGGGTGGGAATCAGAAGGATACTCTGGGGAGACACAGCTGGGAAACCAGGTCAAGCCAGAGCTTGGGACTGGGTGTGTGTGTGGGGTCCACCCTGGGTCCCCTGGGGCTGGCGGGGGCTGAGGAAGAGACTCTGGAAGGGAAGGTGACCCCCACGAGGTCCGGGACCCTCAGTACACCCCCACCACATGCCCCCCAAGCTGAGCCTAACTCTCCTCCCCCGCCTCTCCCCACCCGGGAGCCACTAAGAGAGAGAGGTGCAGAGAAGGACGGTGAGGTGAGGTGGGGGTCGTAGCCATGCAGTTACGGTGCGTGCGGGGGGACAGGGCAGAGCTAGAGATGCTTGCATGACCGCCCTCAGCCCGGCGATCTTGTCACAAAGTGGTCGAATCAACAGACTGGTCCCCAACAGACCCTGCAGACACCCACTATGTAGCCACGTGAACTCAGCCTTTGTCATTCACCAGGTGTTCTGTCCCTTTCTCATTTTCTTATGGATCATTCTGGGGACTTTCACAAACCCTGGGGGCGTCTCTTCTCAGCATTTTTGCTAAACCAGACTTTGCCAACGAAGCTCAAGTCCCCTCTGCCTGCCGTCCTTGGGCAACATCTGCAAGGATTTTAAAACTTCCACTCTGGCGAAGTGCGTGAATACCAGGCAGCCGGCAAGTGGGTCGTTCTGCCCCCGGCTTGTCTATGAACTACACTGATGGCTTCTCAGTGGCTTTGAGGATCACATTTCTGGGCAGTAACCGTTTGCTCCCTGCATTTTGTTTTTCCTTTCTTCCTTTTAGCTCCAAACTTGGTCACAGCCTGGGACACATTCTCTACCTTTTTAGCTGTGTTTCAGGCACATTTCAGCAGCACTTAAAAAAAAGTGGATCGGGGGGGCTGGGGAACCATGTCTCTCAAGAAAACGCAGTATTTCCAGCATGGGGTGGACACCGGGAAAAAAAAAATTTGTGATCCTCCAGGCTAAGAAAATAGTGCGAAGTGGAAAAGATGATGCAAGCTGTACAGGCTGCGGCAGTTTCTTGGTGGATCTAGCGATCCCAGATGCTCCGGAGGCTTCCACTCAAGGTCGCAGGTGTGGGATCTGACAGTGCCAGGCAGGAAGGAAGCTTGACTGCCTCCAGTTACAAAGGCAAAGTCTGACGTGGGGCCAAGCAACAGAGACTGGGGCCCGGGGAAATGTGTGTGCACACGCATGCTAAACTGCTTACAGAAAAGTCAAATATGATTTACAGAGAAGTCTCAACACAGATCTTCATCGTACCCCTGCATGGATCTCTATGGACAGAAGTATCTGGTGTGTCCACTGCCTGTGTCAAGATTTACAACATTCTGGAAACATTCATTTCTAACCGTCTTGTTGGTTCGACCAAATTGTCTCCTCCCTGTTGTCCGAGGCCCAGTGAAGCCCCCTGGATCTAGTCTCTGGGTAGATAGATGAGCCTTGGTTAAAACCCCCACTTGGAGGTTCTGATTACCTCCAATTTTGATAAAATCCAATGGTTGTCTTTTGCTCACCACATTCCCAAGGCTTGAGGCCTCTCATGGCCCCAGGGAAGGCCAGCCCATCTCCTCTCTGCTCTTCTGGCCTCAGATTCCCACTGAAGGCCCAGGGCATAGAGGACACAGCCCTGCCAACGACCCTGGCACCCCCACCCCACTGGACAGGGTCTGCCCACGGAGGCACCAGTCCTGAGCTGGTCTGGGCTCAGTCTCTGTATGCTGGACTTTGGAAGGCATGTCCCTAAAGCCCCACCCCTGGTCCTTCTGCGCAGCAGGAGAAACACACACTGTGGCCCCTACCAGAGGCTGGGGACCCAACCCTCAGCATCCGCCAAGTCCAAAATATCATAGCAGGCTGAAGCTTTAGTTTCAAAATGTGAGGGAGTTTTCACCCATCTCCATAATACATCTTCGTCGTTCCCTGAGCTGGTCTGAATGTTCGAGTACAACTGATGTTCTCTCTATAAAAATGCTCACTTGGACTGTCAGAGAAGCCTGTGTGCATCAAGCACACGCCCACACTCCCGGTCCACACTCAGATCTCCACCACAGGCCCCGCCTTAGAGCTGGTGTTTCCAGATAGTTGTGTGTGCACCTGACTCTGTACTAAACATACTGGGAGGCCTTGAAATGTAACTCCAATGTAGACTCCTTGCAAAACCTTGCCAGCCTTATGTGTATTTCCCCACTGCTGGGTTTGCCGAGTCCAGAGGGAAGGATAAGGATACACTTGACCTAAAAGGCTTCCCCTTCATCAGGACTATGGCTAGGGTGAAAGCCACACTCCCTAAATCTCCTTCCAGATCCCACACACCAGCCTAACCTCCCCAGCACGCAGCCATGACAGGGGATGGGGAGAGTGGGGAGGGGGCTGGCGGCCATGTAGCCCTGGCTGGACAGTTACCTGCTCCGGTGATGGCAGGCATGTTGAAGATCTCCGTCCCAGGCTGGCCGATATCTGGGGGGAGCAGGTGACAAGATGGGTAAGGCCTAAGTGCCCACTGGTCCTAGGGGCAGTCACCTGCCCCCACCTGTCCTCTAGTCTAGGCAAGGTGCACCATGTGGGGAATCCATTCAGTGTACACAGATTCACAAGGTCTGGGGCAGGGCTAGGGATGCTGCATCTCCAACCAGCTTGCTAGGGCTACTGACCTGCTGGCCCACAGACTGCACTTGGCAGGGCTCTGGCGCTACCAGCCTGCAATGGTCTAGCCCCAGAAAGTTTCAGGAAAGGCCCTACAATGCCCCCAGACTCCCCTACCAGCTAATGAGCCCCCAACTAGGGCCTGTGGCAGCTTCTACACATGCTGTGATCTTCTATGTGCCAGGCACTGTGCTAAGGGTGGGGGAGTTAGGACTTATATCCAGCAGCCACATAAATGGAAAAAACATGTGTGATGAGCATTGTTAGCTGGGAATACACACAGGACCCTTGGGCGGGCAGGACCCCAATCCCTGATACCCAGGATGGGGCTTGGCACACACCCATCCCTGCAGGAATTCACCACATGCCCACAGTGTGCCGGGCACCACATCCTGTAGCAGCCAGCACCGCCAGCAAAGGAGAAGCCACCCGGGGCTCCCTGAATGGGGGGTGAAGGGTCAGTGGGACAGGTGGTCGGTGGGGCCACCTAGCTTTGGAAAGTATCCTGTGGGCTCTAGCCCTGTGCGGGCCTCCAGCCCCATAGAGGCTCCTACTTCCTGGCGGGGGGGGGGGGGGCCGCGGGGGGGCGGCAGGCGCGTGGCTTACTGTACTCGGGCTCATTCCGGTTGTGAGTGTTCAGCTTCTTGTTGATCTCCTGTTTTTTAGATTTGACCATGGCAGAGTTGCTCTCAGTCAGTTTGCTGAAGAAGGCGGGTGGCTGGCTGGTGTTGCCTGGGGACTTGGAGCCCATCCTGCTGCAAAAATCAGATGTCCCAGGTTGGTTTGCTTAGTGCTAAGCTTGCATACCTTTGTTGATGGGGCACTCATTACCTGCCATGTCTTAGAAACTCAGAACCAAGCTTCTCCTACCCCACGCCTACATCCTTCATCTCTTAGGGATTCTGTCTCCTGCAGTCTTCTCTGCAGTTCATGTGTCTGGGTTTGGGCTGCCTCTGGAGAGCCCCAGTTGCTCTGGGGGGCCATGCTAGTCTACCTGCAACAGCCTGGCGCCTTGGAAAGGGCCTCAGGAACTGCGCGTGCAACCAGAGCACACCTTTCCTAAGGCCCACAGTCCTGGCTGCCTCCTATCTCCACCCACCTGACTGGCCTAGACATTTAGCTCCTGATTTCTCAGGTCCTCAGCAAGTGCCCCAAGTAGGGGACTGGTCTGAGCCCAGATACCACAGTTCAAGGCACGCGTTCTGCTACGGAGGTCCCTCGAGCTGGGACACCTGCTTAGCAGCCTGAGATCCCTGAGCCACACACAAAGCGCTTGTGAACCCCCAACTGCAGAGCGGTGCAGCGCAGCCGCGAGTCGAGCCCCGGGGGAGCAGGGGCATCACGGAGGTACCTGGTCTCGGCCTGCTCCCCATCCCGGTACAGCAGCGGGTACATGGTGCTTCGGGGATGCCCGGGCTCTGCCAAGCCCTCTGGTGGGGACACGGGTTCGATAGCATCCTCGCTGCTGCCCAGGGCTGACGTCTTGCTTGGCTCTGGAGACCTGAGCAGACAGAGGGTACTGGCTGTACTCAGAGTCCAGTGCTCCACCCCAAGATGACACAGGGATGTGCCCCTCTCTCCACTGCTGTCCCAGCCCTGCCCCGCTCCATGTCAGAGCTCGGCCACTCTTCCCGCAGAGGGCCGGAGGGCTGCTCTTTTAAGCTTTGTGGGCCACATGTGGTCTCCACTGTAGTTTCTTCTTTTACCATCTTTTAAAAATGTAGACCACTTTTAGCTCCTGGACTGTGGGCTGGATTTGGCCCATGGGTGGTAGCTGACCCCTGCTGCAGCCCATGCCAGGTCCCCCACTGTTCCCCCAAGGATGTCCTGTTGCCTTCCCACCCTTGTGCCTGACTCATGTGGCACCTTGAGTGGTTCCCTTCAACAGAGAGCTGGGGGCTGCCCCAAAGCCCAGCACTCCTGGGGGACCCAGAGATGAGTGTGTGTGTCTCCAGGGAGGCTGCTAAGAGCGCAGAGCTCTGGTTCGAATCCTGGCTCTGCCACTTACTGGCTGTGCGCCTGTGGATGAATGGATTCCCTCTCCATACCTCGGTGCCTTCATTGGTGAAATGGGGACAATATTGCCTGCACTTGCTGGGTTGGTGGTAAGAATTCCAGTAACATGTGTGAAGTGCTTATTAGCTTGGTGTCCGGAGCCCACAGACTGTGATGCACATGTCAGCTACTACCTACTGGCACTGTGCCCTTGAGCAAACTCCCGCATTTCCCTCAGCCTCAGTTTCTCCTCTTTGCATGCATAACAGGGGCGTCTTGCACTTGCTCAACCCTCCCCTACAGACATATGATGAAAGCCTCCCAGAAGCGGAACAACAAGGCCACCTGTCCCTGACACTTACCTTTTGCCCCCTTCACTGTGGGGTGAGCCACGAGCTGGGGCGCCATGGTCTGGGGGTGGGAGGTAGAGGTCGCTGGGTGGGCGGCGCAGGTCCAGGACCGGGCAGCTGGCTCCAGGGAAGGAGTAGAGGGGGGCAGGGAGGGGCGCGTTGAGCTGCTGTGGATGGTGCCGCGTGTAATCCTGTGTGATGACCTCCTGCAGGCCAAAGGTCAGAGCAGAGGCACAGGGTCAGGCAGCAGCCACCCCACCAGAACCTTCAGGGTGGGCAAAGGCTAGGTTGAACTTCAGGTACAGAACTAGGCTTGGTTCCTGGCTTTCTGGGTGCTTCAGGCCTGCCTACAGTAGCCTCATGGTCCCTGTGTGCGCAGGGTGGTGGCCCCTGGATGGGTCAGATTCCACTGGCCAGAATATATAAGATATGGATCATGGACTCACGCATCCCAGGCTCCATCAGCTGGAGGAAGGGGCGGTTACCACATCTGAGTTTGAGGGCTTGCCCTTGCCAACCCCCACATCCTGGGTCCAGTCTGCCAGGACTCAGTTTACCCACCGGACCAAGAGGCTGTGTGTGACCCTCCCCGACCCTTCCCCAGGACCATGTCCTGGCCCAGGTTCAAAGGTGATGAGGAGGGGTGGCAGAGAAGGGGTAGTTACACTGATGTGCTGTGCCAGGGTGACCACCCTCTGGTGACCTTTGACCCCTGGGGTGGTCTGGAGCAGCGGGCTGGACGAGGACTGGCTCTCAGGCAGTGGCCGTAGGTGTGAAAGGTGTGCAGCCTCACCGCTGAGCTTCCCGGGGCCTGCAGACAGAGCAGAGCTGTTTAGGCCATGGGAGGAGGGGTGGCTGAGGTGTGTGCCTGACTGGGGGCGCATCCCTGAAACCCAGCTCGACCCTGTGAGCTGTGGGGTGGGGCCAACTCCTCCATCCCCAGTGCCCTTGGTTTTCCTACCTGCATGATGGGGTGACGGCGACCCCTCTCTCACAGGGTGGTGGTAAGTGGGATGTTTGAGGGAGTGGTGGGGTAGCCTACCTGGCTGCTTGTGCCGCAGGTCCCCCTCCAGGTGACTCTTGTCAAGCTCCTCGAGATGCTTGGGGAGCCCCTTGTCGTGCGTCAGGCTGGGTGAACTCACAGGGCTTATGGGCTCCACTCCGTCGGGGCTGTAGCTGCCACCATGGTAACCTAGTGTAGGCAAGGCCGTGGGTCAGGCCAGTGCCAGGACCTGGGGCTGGGGCTGCCCCTCCTGGCCTGCCCTCCCATGCTGGCTGGGGCCCCCAGGCCGGAGTGGGGGTAGTGGGCAGATAGAAGTTGCGAGCCGGCGCAGGGGCTGCTGGCCAGTCAGGGTGGGGGTACATCGAGAACGGAGAGAGCTAGAATGGTGGGGAGAGTGACAGGTGGAAGAAAAACATGGATAGATACACAGGCAGAAAGGCCAGGAGATGGAAAAGGACAATGAGAAACACAGACCCATCCAGATGGTGGGGGCTGGGGGAAGAGAAGTCTCTATGGAAGGAGATGCAGGAGTATGATCAGTGGGAGGTATGGCAGGGAGTGACACTCAGGTCCCAGGACCCCGCCTGGGCCGCATTCCCTGTAGCCCCCAGTTCCAGCTACCAGGAGTCCAGAGCTGGGGCCAGAGATCTCTCCTCCTAGGGGATGCTGGGCAGCAGGTCAACAGGGGCGTGTGGGGCCAGAGCACCCCAATACTCCCTCACAAACCAGGCAGGGTACAGGGGGGTCAGCTCCTCCTGGAGAGTCAGGAGCCTCCCTCCCCTCCCTGTCTTCTGGACAGTCTGCCTTGGTGGGTGTCCTCCAAATCAGACTCACCCATACAGCAGCAGGCGTCAGCCCAAGCCCGCAGCCCCACTCCCTGCTCCCCAAACACAGGCGCAAAGATTGGGAGATGGGAGGTGCAGTTGAAGTCAAAATCACAGATCCATTCATTAAAGGAAAAAAAAAGCGAAAATCCAAAAAAAAAAAAAATCATGATAAAACAATGTGCAAATGATGAGGTGCCCCCCAATCGGGGGGGTGGCGTGGGTGGCAGCTTGAGGAATAACCATCAGAGCGTGCAATCGACGAGGACGAGTTTCAAAACAAAATACCAAAACCAACGAAAAACGGGGGGAAAAATAAAAAGCAAGAGATCTGAAAATATCTTTAGGCCACAAGACGGGGTGGGTGGGCGGCGGGGCCGGAAATCTTACCATCGCGAGGGGAGTCGTTGGCCAGCGAACCTCCTTCTCGCGGCCCTTTATCGTGAGCAATTTGACGCATGATTATCGCGTCTATGAAGGTGGCCGCTGTCAGGGTGGTCTTACCCAGAGAACGGAGCTCCAGTTCCTGGATGGAAAAGGGTTTACTTTGAGTCTTTTCCCGATGCAGGTCCGTGGCCGAGGTGGGCGGCGCAGGCTGGTCCGGGCCGGCGTGGTGGGGTGCGAGGCTCTTTGCTGGGGTGCGGGCGATGGCCGAGTGACTGGAGCCGGGGGGTGCCAGGGGCCGCGGCTCGGAGCCCTTGCTGGGGGGGGAGGCAGGCTCCAGCCCGATGCGGGCCTGAGGCTTGGCAAGGAAGGCGTGGCCAGCGTCTGCCCGGGGCCGCTCGGGCCGTGCAACCCTTGGGGCCTCCTTGGGCGGCAAGACGGGCTCCATGAGGGTGGGGTAGACCCCGTCGAGGGTGCTGCCCAGTGGACAGTGGGTGGTGGGTGGGAATGTGGCAGCCGGGCGGACAGGCGAGGAGGTGGAGGTGGACCTGAGGGAGGAGAGAAGGCGGTAAGGAGGCTGGGGAAGCCACCCTGGGGTGGGGTGGGGGGTAGGGGGAGAGCCCAGGAGACTGAGGCACAGTCACTCCCTCACACTTCCACACCCTGATGGGTCCCCACTGCCCTGGGATAAATCTGCCCTCCTGACCCGGCCTGCGAGGTCCTTCCTGGTATGGCCTTACCCACCCCATACATTCACCCGCTCATTTATTCACGATCTCCATCGTTCCCAGGCTTCCCACTAACTGCCTGCCATGTGTCAGGCACTGTTCTAGGAACTGCTCTAGACATTGAGGGGCTGGGATTCGAAGTGGCCCAACTCCAGCCCTCAGGGCCTGTCAAGCCCAGTGTCTCTGTGAGGAGGTTCCCTGCTCTTCACTAACCCTCACTCTAGTTGCCAATGGGAAAGGCCCGACTGCCTCATGACAGTTTCTAATCAACTCATTGCTGGTATAGACAAACAGCTGGCCTTCCTATGTGAGTACTAACCGTGCTCTAAGCAGCTAGGTGCTTCTGTCTTGTGTACCTGCTGGGTGCTTGAGTCACTGAGGTCAAAGCCAGTACTTCTGGGGAACAAAGTTGTCAATTCCCCTAACTGGACTTGTGGTTGGGTGGTGGGTGTGATCAGAGCAGCCAAACGGGTGTGGGTACTCGTATGAAAGCAAACTTCACCTTGGAAGAAGCACCTGCCTCTGAATAGGACCCTGGGTGGGACGGGATTCCAGGGAAGCTCCCTTCCCCTCCATCAGTCAGTTCTGCTCCCAGTCCCTGGGGCGTGGGTGTCACTGGAGGGGACCTGGGCACCTTGTGGGAGTGAGTGGACTCTGAGGGGCACACATGGGGCCTGTGGAGGCTCTCCCATTTATACCCAGGCAAGACAGACACCATCTCCTCCCTAAAGAGCCCTGCTAAAGTCAGGGGAGGACCAGGAGAATCTCTCCCCACAGCCCTTGCTCATCTGTCCCTCTTCTTTCCACAGACTCTATCTTTGAACCCAACAATCTACCCACCTACTCATCCAACCTCCCCCCCACAACCTGCCACCTATCCACCCAACTCACCATCTACCCACCCAACCATCTGCATGCTCATCTACCCACCTACCTACTCACCTCTCATTCAACCTCTATTGTTATTCATTCACCCTTCCATTTGCCCCCTCCCCCTCCATCTATCTACCCACTCACCTAATACCCACCCACCTACCCATTCATTAAGCCCAGCCATATCCACACCATGGCACCCACCTATCCACTTACTTACCACCTGTCATCCACCCACTTACCCACTCATAATCCATTTGTCTACTCACTCACCCACTTTGTCCATCCACCTAACCTTCTAACCCCATCTCCTATCCATTCACCTCCAAAATATCTGCCTGTTCACCTACCCATCATTTATCCATCCACCCTCTCACCTGCCCTTCCTTCCACCTACCCATGTATCGTCTGTTCATCCACCGTCCGTGGGCCCTCCTGCTACCTACTCACTGACCTACCATCCACCTACCTACTTCCCTACTTTCCTTCATTCACCCCACCATCTATCTGCCAACTCATCCATCCACCTTTGCATCCACCAACCAACCACTGGCCCACCCACCTGTCCCCTCCCTTGTGCCAACCTGGCCCACCTCAGGACCGTGGGTGTGCTAGGCTCCACGGAGGTGATGATGCCCTTCATGCCCGTGTTGTGTAGCACGCTGGGTCTCTGCTGGATGGCGTCCTGGGTCCGGGGTGAGATGGGCGAGTGCTGGTGGGAGTGGGAGTGGGAGGCGGGGCGGCTGCCACCGCTGCTGCTGCCCCCACCCCCGCTGCCACTGCTGCCGCTGCTCTGCTCTGTACCTGGTGGGGACAGGCTGTGGCATCAGGGAGGCAGGCTTCACATGGCCCACGAGGACCCCCAAAGGCTGGGGCAGGGACCTCTGATGCCCTACCAGGTCTCCAGATGGGCGCATGCTCCACTGTGGTTGTGGATGTGAGGATGGACTTCTCACGCTCCCGTTCACGCTCCCGATCTCGATCTCGCTCCCGCTCCCTCTCAGACGAGGAGGTGGCAGAGGGTTTTGTCAAGTGAGTGGGACCTCCTGCCAACCAAAAGTCCTGTGATTCAGCCCAGTGCTCAGGGAGGGCCTGGACCTGTCTTTGGGGGTGGAGAGAGGACACCCAGCCACCCTCTGTGGACGCAGGGGTCCTGACCCAGGACAGGGGCAGGGGTGTTACCTGGGGAAAGTGGGGAGCTGCTAAGTCGGCTGCTGAAGTGTTGGGGTGCTGTGGGGAGGTAGGCGAGACGGTCCATGGCGGTGGCGGGTGTGCCTGGTGTCGGAGGAACCAGCACAGGTAGATGTGGCACTTGGGACAGGTCGATGATGCCTGCAAGAGGAGGCGGGGTTGCAGGAGGGGCAGTAGGGGCCAGGCCACTTGCCAGCTGACCACCCCAGCGGTGGAGTGCAGCATGCCCTCGTGAGCAGAAGCACAGCCAGGCCGCTCCCTCCTGCTTCTGAGCACCAACCCCCCTGGACCCTTTTCTGAATGCCAGGCTCTCCCCATCCCACCTCCCCTTGGCTCCCAGACCCCAGGAGTGGTGTCCTGCAGGTGGCATCCCTGCATTACACTCTTCTGCTCTTCCAGCCTCTGGCCCCATACAATCAGTTCCTCGTGTTCAGTCCTCACTGTCTGAAACAACTAGACTGACTGGTTTTTCCAAATGGACTCTGACTGGTACTTGCTTGTTCCAAAAGTGTTTCCAGAGGATGACTCCAATGCACTTACAATGCGGCCATGGGTTGTTTGCCAGTCAAGGGATTGGGAAATTCTAACAGTCTCCTATTTAGACCCTCCCTTTTTTTTAATGCCAAGGACCCCATATACCAAGAGTACACAGAGGCCCATGCACACCTCCCATGTGTGCATACAGGATGCACATGGCTACCAGACACACACCCACACTCACAATCACCCACCAGGTCTGTGTGTGCGCTCAGGGCAATCCCACCTCCCAGACCTCTAAGGGGACCACACCACCATCTCAGCAAGCATACATGTGTTTTTGCACCCTCAAGCAGGCCTGGGTAGATGAGGACTAAGGCCGATTCTGGATGGGGAGGGTCTGCTCACCCACTTGCCAGGAAGTGTCCAGCCCTACTCACCTCGAGGTCCGGCGGCATAGTTGAGAGCCAGTGAGGACTCGCGGGGTGAGAGGCCCCTTAGCATGTCAGCTCGCTGGGCCATGGCGGTGGCCGCATTGTGGTGCATCTGCTGTGAGGTGATGTAATCGTTGATGATTGTCTGACGGTTCTCCAGCGCTGCCGTGTCAGGGTAGCCTCGGATGAGGTACGGTGGGTACAGGTGCGGGTAGGTAGGGTTGGGGGCCAAGTGTCGGGGCAGGTAATAGGCAGCGGCTGCAGGAAAGAGAAAGGCAAGGTCAGGCTGGTGGAAGAATGTCTCCCCACCTGTCTTTACGCCCCCCACTCCCATACCTGACAGCTTCTCCCAAAACACCCCCACAACACAGAATTGAGAGCCTAGACATAGAACAACCTCCGCTCCCCACACACATGGGGGTACCTTCTACTGATAACTTTTTCAGATCCAAGTTTCCCCAAACAAAGGGCATCCAAAATGTAGATCACTAAGATACCTAGGGGAGGCATCCTTCTAAACAGATTTTCAGACCATGTTCATTTGAGGAACATTCAATACTTCAACCCTCTTTTGATACATTTGCAGTTTTAAAGGCACTGAAGTTCTGCAGGAAAAGAAAACCACTGAAAAATATTTAACCCCATATATCCCTCAGACTCCTAAGAGAGATTCTGTTCTAACCTAAACTATTTACATGACTGCATTCATTACTGCTGGATCTCTCCACCCTTACACTTGTTTCCTCATCTACCAGAGCTGAGCTGATGCCTGAGAAGTCCCTGGGCTGACACTGACGAAGCCTCTGACCCTATGCTGTAGGATTCTATGAGTCTGGGGCAATCACCTGCATCAAGAGGGATTCCGCGGGGTATGGAGGTGGGATCGAAGGCCAGAGGGATGTGGCCGCGGTATAGGTCCACGCCACTCACACCCCGAAGCAGGTGCTCATAGGGCGAGATGGGGTGGGGATGGTGCTCAGGAACGGCGCTGTGGGGGGACTTGGCAATCTCACGGGGCGTCGACGTCAACTTCCGGTCCTGCGATGCCTTGCTAGATGAGAGGCTGCCTGTGGGGACAGGCCAAGGGGGGTTAGCATTAGGCCTCCGTGGCAGGGCTGTCACAGCTCCCAACACGGGGTCCGCTGAGGCCAGGGGTTATGGGAGGCCATTTGAGGGTAGGCTCTCTGGGATCCAGGGACCAGGACCCTGCCTTCCCCTGTTTCTTTACTTCAGGTTCTGTGTTCTTTCATCTACTCATTTGCTTCTGTGTTTTTGTTCTTTTAAAAAATACACTCACTCCTGCTCTCCTTTGTTCTCTTTCATTCACTCATTCAAACAATAAAAAAATCTTTACAGAGCCTCTACTAAATGCCAAGCAATGTTCTAAGAATTGGAGCCACCCCAGTGGGCAAAACAGGCAGGAAACCTGGCCCACATGGAGCAGATACTTACCGCTGGAGAAAGGTGATAAACTAGTTTTCAAATAAAAATTTCTGAGTGATAAATGCTCCAGTGAAAATTTAAAATGTGACCAGAATAGTGGAGCAGGGTCCTTAGAGCCTGCCGAGAATGTGATTTTGAAGAGACCACCAGAAGGATAAAAAGAAGCCATTTAGGTAACAATCGGAAAGTGGGGGTTTCAGGCAGAGGGAAGAGCAGGTGCAAAGGCTCTGAGCAAGGAACAGAGAGGAAGAAGCTGGCTCACTGAGCCTGGCTGGGGCCCTGGCATTCATACCCCAACCTGTACCCCACGTACCCTCCTGTAGGCGTGGGGTGGGCTCCCGCGTGGTCACAGGCGAGCCGCGTGGCAGGTGGCCAGCAAAGGGTGCCCCGTGCTCCTCATAGGTCAGGGGGCTCTGGCGTGGCTTGCCCAGCTCGGGCACGATGACTGGAGCCCCCCGGGTGATGGAGCCCCCTGAGCTGCCAGCCGCCCCCGGCCGGCTCTTCAGGCTCTCCTCATAGCAGGCACGCTCCAGTGCCCGGGCATCAGCCATCACATCCAGTGGGTGCACGGGTGGGAATGTGCGGCCAGGGCTGCCGATGATGGAGCGCACGTCATGCTTTTTGGAGCCGGCAGAGGATGTGCCAGTGTCATACTTGAGCGGGGTGCCCTGGGGAGAATGGGTTGTGAGCACCGGCCATATCACCTCTCTGAACCTCAGTTTCTCAGCTATAAAACAGGAGCACATTTCATGCCTCCAGGGGCAGGGGGACAGAGGGCTTTCCTAAACCTAAGATGAGCACACTTGTCACTTCCCTGCCCGACCCTGTCTTGGACCCCAAAGCTACCTGGAGGCTACAGAAAGGGCGTAATGTTCACAGGCCAGCCCTTCCTGGAGCAAGCAGAGGACCCCCTGTTGGCCCCTGCAGTCTCAGCACCCCACGTGGGGACAACATCCCTTCCGTCAGCCTGGGACCCTCTATGGCACACTCAAGGGCACGCCAGAAAACTCAGCAGCAAAACCCAGCTCCACTGCCTGTGGCCCAAGGCTCAGAGGTCAGGGCTGAGGTTTGTTTGCTCTCTGGCCAGAAGGGACAGCTGAAGAAACAGAGGGTCATGGACCAGAGCGCAACCCGGCCACCTGGGAGAAGCCCCCACCCCGTTGACACAGGCTTGGAAACTAGGGTACAGTGGGGCCCTTTGTCTCTACAAGTGATAGAACTCAGAGCTTATTTATGGACCTTTTAATTACTTTCGTAAGAAAGGGAAACACCCTGCTTTTAAGAATCCTGTAGAATCAGACTGACCTCCCTCTTGGGTCCATAGTGGGCTCTTGCCCAGAAGCTGAGAGCCTAACTGGTCCCCTGGCATTGGATCATCTCCCCACAGCTTCTCCCGGCACTGTGCACCTTTACCCCAGCTGGGACCTCTTCCAGGATACCCTCCCCAGTCCTGTCTACCCCACAGCCACGCAGCCCCTGGGATGATTCCCACTCTCCCTCCTCATTCCATCAGGCCCCCTCTGCCCACGGGAAGAGACAGTGGCCACTCATAAGGGCCACTGTCCAGCTCCTCACACGACTGGAGTGGGTCATATCCTAATAGGTTGGGGCCTTCTGATGTGTAGGGGCCACAGGGGTGCAGCCTGCTGATGAGGGAAGTAGACACCAAGAAGCAAAGATGTTGTAGATTTAGGCACATCTGGATTTGAGGTTCACAACTGCCATTCACTTGCTGTGTGACCCTGGACAAGCCGCTTCATGTCTGTGAACCTCCACTTATGCACTGACAAAATGAGAGCAGTAAGAGAACTACCTCAGAGAGTGGTTGTGGGGGCTGAACAGGATATGATGCCAAGTGCTCAGGCAGGGCCTGGCCTATGACAGAAATCCAATCAGCAGCAGCCACTTATTTTTATGACTAGTTCTGGGAGTTTGGCAGGCTGCTTGAACTCTGTGGGCCTCAGGTGCTCCACCTGAAGAATGGGGATAATAGGTATGAACTTCACAGGAGAATAAATACAATCAAACAAGGTCGTGGATATAAAGCCTATAGCCTGGAATCTGGAATGCGTGTGGCAAAGGCTCAGTAACAAGCAGCTGTGTAAACTCAGGCAAGATGCTCACGGAGTCTTAGCCTCAGTCTCCGCATTTATAGAGGCCAGAGCACAGCTAATACTCCCCCCCATGCCTCTTGGTCCAGCCTGCCTGGCTCTGGTGCCATACCTGTGTGATGGAGCCCTCCTTGAGCGGCCTCGGGGCCAGGGGCAGCTCAGGCGTGCGCCGCAACTCCTCCCGTGGGATCTCATGGATGGAGCGACCGGCCTCCTTCACCGTGGCCACCAGCCCTTCATGGGCCGGCTTCAGCTTCAGGGGCCCCAGGGCCTCCAGGGGTCGGGCCTTGTAGGCCTCAGCCAGGTCTCGCGGGGGTGGGGGCGGAGGGGGCGGCGTGCCCTCGCGCTTCAGGAGCTTGGCCTCCCGGCGGAGGTAGTCTTCCTGGGCCTCCACGTAGGACCGTGGAATCCCTGCCAGGGGGATAAGGAGCTGACCCTTGACTCTGCACCCTACCGTGCCTGTCCTAACCTGGGATCTCCACGTGCCGGTGTTTCTGGAGCCAGACTACCAGGGTTCCCATCCTCACTCGCTGTGTGGCCTCGAACTCATGACCTGACCTCTCTGAGCTTCAGCCCCTTCATATGTAAGAAATACTTCACCAAGCCATGCTCATTCGATGAGACACTGCAGACAAAAAGCATAAAATGGGGCCCACGGAGCTGGCTTGCTGCCAACTAGCCAAGAGAATCTGAGTGGCATGGTAACAGCAGCTGCTGAGAACTGTTCGTGAGTGATAATACCGGTCCCACACGCTAACAGAGGTGTAGCACTTGCATTCGTGCCAAGCACCAAGCAGATGCTCAATAAACAATGCCCACGAAGGATAGGACTGATGGGCAGTACTCTGCTTTCTACTTTTGTTTTTCAAGAAGACATGCCCTTGCTCTGCACTTCAAGTCACACCTGTACTGGCCATGCACACGTGTTACACGCCTTTCCCACAGCACTCCAGCTCGTCCCCCTCCTCCCTCCCCTGCTCATCTTGACTAAACCTCTGTACCCTTGTTGCAGCCACCGTGAGGGCAGTGTGTGTGGGGGGGCACCTTGTGTGATGGAGCCTCGGATATGGTGCTGCTCTTTGAGATGGTGGGGGCTGTGTCGCTCAGGTGGGATGGCACGGCCCATGAGACCTGGGGGAGGGATAAGAGCATTATGGTCACACAGGTCCCTCAGCCAGCCTTGGGCAGAGACAGGGGCTGCGGTCAGAACCACCCTTCCTGGCACGGGTTCCTCCAGCCATTGATAGCAGTCCCCATGATGGTGGCAGCAGTGGAAGCACTGGATCCAGCCAGCAGTGTCCCATCTCCGGGGCCCTGCTCCAGATGGGGGAGCCTTAGCAAAACCCAGCCTCAGTTTAGCTCTCTAGAAAATCAGGCAAACTGTCCCACCACACCCATCCAGGGGGCACTGACAGACAAATTCTCTTTGCTGCTATGACCCAATGAGCTGGGAAGCCCCACAGGGCAGGTCCTGGGCCCCCTGGCATTGTTCAGCTGGAGTAGGGAGCCAGGCAGGGCACCCACCTTCAATGCTGGCTGAGGAGATGGCCCTGCTGACACGGCCCTCCATCATGTCGTAGGTGCGCTTGGGGGCAGCGGTTTCGTGGGGAGGTCCTGAGCTGCTCCTGCCATCCTCCTTGGAGCATTGGGACACCGACATGCCACCTGGAAACCAGACCATGCTCATGGCGAGGGGCTGCAGGTCTGGTGCACAGGGCCCAAGACCAGCAAACCAACTGGGGCCTGGGGACAGAGGTCAATGGCAGTCACAGGGTCCTGCTGGGCCCTCCTGAGGGAACCCACAGCCTGTAGTCCAGCTGAGGCCTGACGACAGGGCCCCACCCAGCAGTCTCTCTCAAGTCCAAGGGATTTAACAGATAGAAAGGCTTCCTGCTCCCTGAACCCCAACCCACTGTTCATGTGTGTGCCTCTGACCACCGGCAGCCATATAAGCCTCTATTCAAACAGCCTCACAGGGGTGCTGACTTGTGGCAGGAACATGAGTGCACATGTGTATGCGAGCAGAGATCCAGCAGCAGAGTATGAACATACAGGATATGCATGACCACTTATGCATTAGCATTGCATGTGGGAGTGTGTGAGCGTGCATGTGTGAACATGTGCACACATGCACACATGCTGAGCCGCTGAGAACAAAGCGCAAATATACCCACATGCCTGTGTCCATGTGCATATATGAGCACACACACGCATGGGTGTTATAACAAGTCTACATGAGGATAGTGTACATCTGGCGGGGGCGGGGGGCTGGCTGCCCATAGCATATGTGGCCTTGCTAAGCCAGGATGAACCCCCTGGGGCCAGAGACCTCTGGCTGGACCCCTAGTCCCCCAGACTGGCTGAGGGTCTGAAAGCTGGGAGGGACACCCTGAGCAGAGGAGGGCTTTGCCCAGCAGGCTAGGGCTCGTCCAGGGGCCTCTCCTCCCCAGAGCAGCAGAGTCCAGGGCATCAGAAGTAAGCTTCCCAGAACTTCAGTCTTGCCCCTCAAAGAGAACAGGTCCTCTTCCTCCTGTTACTTTATGGGATCCACTCCACAGGTTACACATCGGTGGCCTATAGATAGACTGGGCTACTGCTCTCAATTTTTTTCAGAATTAATTGTTGATGTTTAAACAAAGACTTCAGATCAAAATAAAATATATATATATATATATATATGGAGAGATGAGAAATCTAGCTGATGGGCTCACATCCATACAGGGTGACAACAGTCGCTATCTGGGCTGCCAGGGCTCCACACCCCTGCTGCCTTCCACCTGGCCTGTGCTCTCCGGGCCACCTGGCTCCAGGTAGCCTAGGAAAGATGAAAAGCCCTGGTGCAAATGCACTTCCTAGATGGTAACCAGACAACCAGAGGGGCTCCAGAAGGGGCGTGGGGACCGGAGCCGAGGTGGCACTCTCCCAGCCTGTCCGCCTCGGCTTGCAGGTCCCCTTAGCCACGTACTGATGCTGGTGCCCAAGATATAGCCGCTGGCCTGTCCCTCTGCCACCTGGTACCAGGACTGAGGGAGCAAGTGGGCACAGGCCGATGCCCACTCACCAGAAGAGAAGCAATTTAGGGCCAGCTGCTGAGAGGGTGCCTGCCCATTAGTTATGTGTCACTTCACAGCCCTGGGTGTCCAGGGATGCTGGAAAACCCACATCCTGGCTCTGTGCTCCCCTAACTCCCTCCATGCAGGGCTCCTTGGTTATGGAACCTGAACCCGGGAAAGGAGAGGGGGTGAGAGACAGGGGGAAGTGGAGGGTCACTCTGGTCGTCACCCTGGTAGCCACCCACGGGCTATTCAGCACACCATTTGCAGGAAGTGCTGGGCTTCTGCTCTCTGGGCCTCAGTTCTGCCACTATGCTTCTAGCACAGCTGGCCACAAGTTTGTCTCCTAAATTGTAAATAACCAAGCGGAGGTGAAAGGCAAGCCAACCCTTGCCTGCCACTGGCTTACATGCCTGCAGGGACAAAGAGGTCACCACCTCTCTCTCATGCTTCATGCTGCCTGTCACCCAGCCCTGGCTCCCTGTGAAGCTACCTCAAGGGGCCAAACATCCTCCTCCCCTGATCCCAAGGGGATCTGGTCTCTCAAGGGGCCACAAGGGTGGCCACACAGAAGGACCACTGGCTGCCCCTGTAGATCCATAAAATAGTGACAACATGCTTCGCCAGACAATATGCCTGGTTCCTGACCACCTAGGCCGATGGGAGGGGCACAAACTCCCTAGATCTGTGTTTCCAAACACATCTGGCTGCCTTTTACCCTGACGTTGTTTTTCTAGACCCTCCTCTTTTGACCAACTCCAGAAACACCAGAGCTTGGGGTCCTGGGGACAAGCTATGCTGCAGGAACAGATTTTTGTGACTCATAGCGTTCACAAGGTGACTTCCTATTTGAGTCACATGTGGGTGTCCTGAGCTCTCTGAGGGGGGCTTCATCTGCTGTGTCCCCACCTAATATACCACGTGGATGTGTGGCCAACTGTCCTCCCATGCCCCCATCAGCCCTCCAACTAAAGATTCTTTCTGGGCACTGAAGACTCCTGTGGATGGGAAGGAGGAAGGCACAGGCCTTGCTGGCCCCAGGCTGCCACCGCCAGCTCCTTGAGGCTGGGAACACTAGGATGGACTCACCCTCGTAGGACAAGACGTGGCCCTTCTTGCCCTCGTAGATGACGTGGCCCTTAGGCAGGCTGTCCTCCCGGCTGCGGTCCAGGCGACTGGGGCTGTCTTCACCGATGATCCTGGTGATGGTGCCTTTATACAGGACATCGGCTGGAGTGCCCTGGAGGCACAGAAGGGGTGAGCACCCAGCAGGCTCCACCCGGGGACCCCAACACTCCCCAAGCACGACGTGGGTGTGACCAGCTTACATACACGTGTACCTCCACATCCACACACACACACACACATGCTCACACGTGCCAGCTCTACCAGTGCACATGTGTTCATACATGTGCTGCTTCAGAGGGGGGGGGAGACCAGGCCCAGTGGACCGTAACCACACAGGACACCAGCATGTCGCAACTTACAGAGTGCCCACAGTGTCACGGGAACCACTAGGAGCACCTTATATATATTAACTAATTTAATCCTGGCAATCACCCTAAGGCTATTGTTATGCCTGTTTCAGAGGGGGAAACTGAGGCACTTAATGGTTAGGTGACTTCATCCAGGGGCAAAACTGGAACCCAGGCAGTGCAGCTCTGGAGTCGGTTCATTCCTGCCTGTCCTCAGAGCCCTAACGTTTCACTACTCACCCCTGCTTATTTGGCTCCCGTGCTATGCCTGTGAATGTGTACCACACACCCCCACTTCCCCAAACCAGGGTTTCTCCCCCTCGACACTATGCCATGTGGGGCCAGTTGATTCTTTGTTGTAGGGCGCTGTCCTAGGCATCGCAGGATGTTTAGTGGCATCCCTGGCCTGCACCCACTGGACGTCAGAGCTGCACTGTGCACCCCAATCTGCCCCCTTCCCAAAGTGTGACCATCAAAAATGTCCTTAGACATTGCCTAATGTCCCCCAGGAGGCAAAACTACCCTCAGTGGAGAACCACCGCCTTAAGGGAGTGTGGGCTCCCCACAAGGGGAGGTATTCAAGCAGAGAGAAAGCAGCCATGTGGAGTAGCATCCTGCCTTGGGCAACTTTCAAGAACACGAGCGCAGGGATCAGAACAGAGTGTGGAGTCAGATGGCTGGATGGCAAACAGTGGCTTTACCAGGGAGTTGCTGTGTGACTTCTGTCAAGTCACTCTGCCTCTCTGAGCCTGGACATCTGTACATCTACAGAATGGAAATAATCTCTGCATGTGCAATTCTCAAAGGGACTTGGCACAGATAAGCTGTCCCTTTTCACAGATGTGGGGTCCTACTGTGTGCCAAACCCTGGACCAGTGAAGCCCAACCAGTCTCCCCATGGGAACTCCTCTGCTGAGAAACATCCCCCTGGGGGGGAAGGGCAACAACTGGCAACTCCTTGGGCTTTTGCTGCAGACCTTGATTTGCAAGGATAACAGCAAGAGCCTCTAAATGCACACGGGTTCCCTGCAACTTCACACCGCAAATGCTCTAGCTAGGGTCTTCCTGCCACACTCTGAAATGACTGTGCACACTGTAGTGTAAACAGGCGATCACTGGGCGGCAGTCCAGGGGCAAAATAGGAGCACACGGCAGTGACATCCCCTCTGGAGGCAGCTGATACCAGCACTGGGTGTTGTCAGAATGGGGTACACACTGCGGAGAGTAGTGGCTTACCAAATAGCACAGGGGATGACGGGGAGGGGCTCTCCTGCTGGGGCTGAAGGTGGTCCGTGTCCTCAGGCTACACTGTTTACAGGTGCTCTCCTACTCCAACAGAGGACAGAAACCTGAAGGACTGCAGACCCTGCCCCTGGGGACAATACACTGGACAGACTCGTGTGAGTGTGGACACTGTTTGCCTGAGGCCTGTTTCAGGGACAAGAGCTTGCAGCCTCATAGGGTGGGCCCCAGCGAGCATCACTCCCAGGGTGGGGGTCACACTGGGGGAGCACAGTGCTGGGTCTTCCTGGAGCCTCCGGGGGGAATATCACGGTCCCTGCCTGCCAGTGCCCGCTGGGGTTGCAGATGTATGCGTCTGTCTGCACACGTGTGTGGTCCGGGCATGATTTCATCACCACCCGGTGGCCAGGCTGTGGGAAAGTCTGACTCTCATGCATTTGGGCAGCTGCCACCCTCTGCGCCAAAGACAATCGAAGGGGTGCAAGTGACTGAGATGGTGTGGGTCACAGTTGCCTGGAAACCTGGGGTGGACTGGTGTCTAGGGCCTGCACATGTCAACCATTCAATCACAAGAAAAGAAACTCCACAAGAAAAGAAACAGTGAGGACTTTTACTAGAGGGGAAACCGAGGCAGGAAGACTGCTCCCTGCTTCAGCAAGTGTGCGGCACAGCTGAGACCTGAACACCCTGGCCTGACTTTTGCCCCAGGTACCTGTTCTTTGCACTCAGCGAAGCTGCCTCCCAAAGCCTATTATTTCAAAATCTACAGCTTTCTCCTCTGTGGTGTGATCTGAGGCCACTGGGCTCAAACACACCTCACTACAGGCCAGCCTATGGCCTGAAGCTCCACCACAAACGTGCGTGTGGGTGGGGCAGGGTGTGCTGTGCGTGCGTGACTGCTCCTGTCCATGTGTCTTTGTGGCGGTGAGCCCATGTGTCTGTTTGTCCATATGCCCTGTACATGTGAGTGCACCTGCATCATATCCATGTGTGTGCCTGTCTCTGTATGCAAGTATGTCTGAGCATATACTTCTGGGCACGCACGCATCTGTGTCTTAGCTCCTCGCCCTCTGACATGGCATTCGAGAGCCAGATGCATTTGGCACAAAACTGAGTCCATTACTTACTAGCTATGTGACCTCGGGTCTAATCTCTGAGCTTCGCTCTTCTTATCTCTAAAATGAGCTGCAATAGCATGGACTCTGTGCCAGTGTAAAGTGTCTTGTCTGGAGCTGGGTAGAAGGGAAAGGAAAAGAAAGCCCAGGCTGCTCAGGACCCCACTTCCTGCTTGCTAGCCAGGGAGGAGAGGGTTAAATGATCCCAGGGGCCCGGGGAGGCCCCACTCCACACCCCTCCCCCACCCCGACCTCTGTCAAGTGGAGAACTGATCCTCCAACCCTAACACCGCAGGGCCTTCCAATCAGCTCCCTCTGCAAACCTGGGGACAGGGACGGGGCAGATGTGGTTAGGCACTCCCTGTTGCAGAGGTAAGTAGGGCTAGAATGCTTGCCTCTAGCCTTCAGGCTGCCAACATCACAAGGTCAAGGCTGGCACAAGAGCAAACCTCTTTGTTTTCTGGGACTTAAGTCACAAAAGGGGAGGATAATGACAGCACATGATGGGCCACAGTGTGGCCCAAGTGCAGAGCACCTGCCTACTGACACCCCGACACCCCAAGGAGCCTCTGCTCATGCTCCAGACACCACAGCCTCTCACTGATCCTTGTGCAAGCCGGAGACACTCCCATATGCTGTTCCCCGAACCGGGAATGTTGTTCCCTGAGATGCCTGTGGGGCTCATCCTCCACAAGTCTCCCCACTAACCTGTGTGGCAGAGCTGGCCCCAAGCATTCTTAATCTCAGTATTTTACTAAATTTGAAGCCCTGGGTACCCTGAAGCCATCTGTGCAGTTTTCCCCCTGTCTACTGCCCTCTGCTACCCTGCCAGCTCCTTGGGAGTAGTGAGTTTTGTGTTTTGTTCAGCACTTCAAGTGCTGGCTCCGAGTACACAAGAGAAATGACCATGAGTTGCCATCCCCAGGACATCACCCCATCCACCAGGACAGGTACCACAAAGTGATGCCAGAGGGAAGAGATGGGCTAGCCCACTGCTCTGCCTGCGGTCAGGGCAGCGTCTGGAGATGCTGCCTGCTGGGCCTCCCCCAGCCCTCAAGCAGTGGCCCAGGACACCTACGTGGGTGATGGAGCCGCGGTACGTGATGGGGCTCTCAGGAGGCACCCGCGTGCTGGGAATGCCCTTGGTGATACTTCCTCCTGGAACCGAGCCCAGGGACGTCCCTAAAAGACAAGAGACACAGGGCATAAAGGGTGTCTGCAGCCCCTTCTCAGGTCCCAGTCCTAAAAGCCACCCTGACCGTGCTCCTGGTGACCCGCAAGACCCCCTTGGTGTCTCGGTGCAGAAGACCCCATGCCCCTAAATGGGTGAACAATTATGAAGAGAAGCTTTGGGACCCTCTGGGAACTGACGGTATTCAGCAGATTCTGGATAAAAGATCCTGTTCCTGCCTCAACCTTTCTCCAAAGAGCTGAGGGGCAGCTGTTGGGGATGTAGGGCAGACTCCAGGCCTCATGCCCACCCCTCATGCCCTCACCTCTCAGCACAGACGTCTCCTGGGCTGTGGGTACCCCCAGGCTCTCCGGTGGCCCAGCCTGGCCCCGTGGGGACAGCTGCTCCTGCTTCACTCCGCTGAAGGGCGCTGGGGATGGGCAAGAGCAGTGAGCCACATGCCACTAGGGTACAGACTTGGAGGGAGGGCCCCCACCTAATCCTACCCGGGGGCTGAGGTCCAGCAGTGCCGGGGATTTGGAGTGCCACCCTCCCCTCAAGTTCAGGCCACAGTCCCAGGGGCCAAGCTGCCTTCCCTCATGCCCCCAATACGGACAGCTAAAGCCAAGCCTGGGCCATCCAGGTAGAGGGCCCAGATCCTTACCCAGCTTCTTGGGGTCCATGGCGAGGGGCAGCCCCATGGTGATGGGGCCCACAGGAGCCTTGGCGTGCTCGGAGTATGGGACATGGAGCTGCACTGACATTCCCTGTGAGGGGCAGAGGTCCTGGGGTCACAGGGGCCCCCTCAGTCCCTCCACCACATGCCCAAGCCCAGCCAGAGTGCCCTGACATCCCCTTCCACAAGAGCCTAAGAGGAGGGGAACCTCAGAATCACATGCAGGTCAGAGGAGCTGCTCAGCTGAGTGATCATGGACAAGTCCCTGGCTCTCCTGAGCCTGGATCCCCTCACCTGTGAAGTGGCCATCATGACCTGGTATGGTTTAAAGGAAATGGTGCATACATGTGGTCTTGGACAGAGTGGATACTTCGCCCCCATCCCTCACCACACAGGTGGATAGGTCAGGGGGGCGAAGGGGCAGGTAGTTCCAGACAGGCTCACCACATGCTGTGTGTCTAGTGCATTCAATCTTCAATTTCACAGAGCAGAAACCGAGGCACAGAAAGATTCTGTAACTTGCCCAAGGCTACACAGTCTGGCTGTACAGCCCATGCTCTTGACTACCCCAGAGTCCCAAGGTCCTAAGTGCCAGGGGCAAGCTCCAGCCAGCTCACACTCCAGCAGTGCCGGGCAGAGAGGTGACCCTGGCCCCTTGAGGGCCCAGTTCCCTCCTGGCTATCATTGCTTCCAATGCCCCCCCACTTTATAGATGGAAAGACTGAACCCCTAAAAGAGGAAGGGGCTATTCTCTGGGCAACAGGCCACACAGATGCTCCTGGGGGGTGGGGGTGCTAACCCTCCCGCCTCACCTGGGAGATAGCACTCATCTGCCTCTCAAGGACGCTGGGGTGCTTAGTAGAGGAGATGAGGGGCGGCGGGTTGGAGATGGTGGGTGGGCGTGGCAGGACGGGCCGGACACTGTCGTGGAGGCCCAGAGGCAGTGGGTGACCTGTAGGGCACACATGTGTCCATCATGGGGCCCCAGCAACGGTCATGCCCCTGCCAGACAGGACCCCCACCCCCACCCCCCAGGCAGCTTCCTGTCCACACATGCCCCTCTGCTGCTCCTCCCATCTCTGTCCTGATGAGCTGCTGTGTCTTTGGTTCAGATGCCACACTCGGAAGCCTCCCTCCACCCTGTAATAGCTTGGTCCCTGGCCCAAGCCCCTTACCTCTGGCCCAGACCCTTTAATTGGTCTCCCTGTTCCCACTTTACCCACTACCCTACCTCTGCCCTGCCTCAGCCACTACCCATTTCCTTCCCAGGAACCAAAGGGATCTTTCTGACAAGTCTTCTGGTTCACATCCTCCCCGCTGCTGTGAACCTTCCATGGCTCTCCACTGCTCCCAGAAAGTCTTAATCTCTGACTCAGCTTTCAGTTTCATCTGACCTGGTGCTTGTGGTCTCCCCAGGCTTTTCTTTCCATGTATCCATTCTTTAGCTCTATGTCACTGGTAGAAGACAGAGCCCCCCCACTCTTGGGCTACCCCTCACCAGCTCAAGCACCTCCTATGGCTCCCTATTGCCAGTGGCTTCAATCCTAGTCCTGCAAATTTCTCAAATCTCAACAGATCTTTTCTTTCACAGACAAAACCATCTCTCTCGTTGGTTCCCATCACACTCTAAGATCCTTTTACATGCAGTTCAAAACCAGTGCAAATAGTTGGCACCCAATGACTGTGCTGGCTGACTCAGCATGGCAGCTGAAGAGCCCACGTGTGGGCCAAGCTACTCACCAGGTGGGGCGTAGGAGAAGGCCGAAGGGTCAGGGGTGTGCGGGGAGGCCTTGATCACCTCACGAGGGGGCACAGGGAAGGGCAGGCCTGACGTCCAGCATGGGGCCTCCGTGGGCAGCTTCTGGCCCTCGGGTGCAAAGGCCGGGAAGAACACAGGCTTCTCTGCTGAGAGGATGAGGCAGGGCAGTCAGCCATCCTTGGCCAGCCCTCAGGGACCCAACGGCCCTGGCCACCCCTGCTCAACCAAGGCCCTCTGTGCCCACAGTACTGGCCTGGGGCGAGAATGGGGTCTGGGCCAAGAGTAGTAGGGGTCTATGTTGGGAGCCCACCAAGTCTGCAGCCTGGCACTGCCCTGAGCCCTTGTGATATTCTGCCTGGCACAGGAATGGGTCTCTGGGCTGGGGTTCTTGGCAGCCCTTGAGATCCTCGGGAGCTTCTCAGTTCCAGTGTGCCAGGCAAGCAAGGGGCCCTGGACAAACCTCCAAAGCAGGGGCTGGCAACCGGTAGCAAAGGGCCTGCTGCCTGCTTTTGTACAGACACTTGTTCTGGAGCATGGTTGTGTCCGCCCATTTATTTATTGTCTATGGCAGAGCTAAGCAGTTGCAGCAGACTGTCTGGCCCATTAAGTCTAAAATGTTTACTGTCCAGCTCTCTCTAGAAAAAGCTGGTTGGCCTGTGCACAATGATGAAGGCTTTCTGGGGTATGTACACCCTGGCAGGAGGGGTGGCCAGGGGTCCACTCTGGAGAACTACCACCACCATGGCAGCCTATTTGTTGAACATGTACTATGTGTCAGGCACTGTGCTAAGTATCCTACCAGCGTGGACCCAAGGAGCCTCCTTAGCTTATTAGTAGGCTTGTGAGAAAGAGACTGTTACCAGATCTGTCATACAGAGAGAGAAATAGGTACAGACACATCAATGGAGTTTTGTAAGGTCACCAGCAAACATCTGGCCAAGTCAGGATTTGAATGCTCAACTTCTTGGCCTGTGTAGTTACAGAAAACACGACAGGAAGGTAATACTCTCCCAGAGCCTCCCATGGGCCAGAACTTCTCCAAGTGCTTGTGTGCACCGACTTGTTTATCCTCACTACACCCTAAACAGAACTACCATCATCCCCATTTTACAGATGGGAAAACCAAGGCCAGGAGAGTTGAGGTCACCTGGTCAAAGGCCCACAGCTGGCAAGGGAGGGAGCTTCGAGCCCGGGCAATCAGGCTATAGACTGTGATCTTAGCCTTCACTAGATGCCCTGCCCACAGGAAGATGAACTACCACTGGCCCCAGATTCTCAGGTCTAGGTACACCGTGTAGACCGAAGGCCAGGGACTCAGGTCCACCATCATGGCATTTCCCCCTGCCCCTCGCCTCCCACTCTACTGAAATCTGCCCCAAGCTCTGGACCTCTCCCTTGAGAACTGGCTGAGAAATCAGGCAGGAGACACAACTTGGAAACACCAGAACTCTCTAACTCCTGGGACAGGAATAGTAGGCAGGTGTCATCTCTTGGGCCACCTCCAGATGACAAAGGGAGGTTCTGAAAGCCCACCGAGGTATGGCAGCAGAGTGTTAGCATCGATTAGTGATGCCTGCTATGGGCACAGCAGGTGGCAGTGGAGGCGTGCATTCTCCAGATCTTCCCTCTTTCCTAAGAGAGACTGAGTCGTCATCCCCCCCCCCCCACCAGGCCTGTGCCCTGGTGAAAGGAGCAGCCCACAAGAGAGGGTCACAGGTGCAGAGAACAAGTCAGTGGAGGGATTCCACAGCCCCTCAAAGAGGTGCCCCCACAGGGCCTGCCATGAACACCCAGGCCTTGCCTGTCCAGCTGCCCGATCCTATGTGCACCTCGGATGCTTTCTGTAGCTCAGCTTGGGCTGTGCCGGGCGGGGGTGGGCTCCAGCGCTGGAAGGGAAATCTGCGGCTGGGCCAGGCTGGGCAGGAGGCCGAGAGCCTGGAGAGACAACCTGTTCCTCCAGCTGGCCCCCAGGGGAGCTGAGCGACTGGCTTGGCTGAGCTGCTCCATGCAAGAGCCAGGCAGCAGGGAAGGCTCCTGAGAGACCAGAGAGGTAGTGCTGGGTGTCAAGTTCACACATGTGCCTACAGGCACTGAGCAGCAACCCAGACCACATGAGAAAAGCACACAGCACCTGATGCCAGGGGCACTGTCTACTGTGGGGAGCCATTCCAGGAAAAGGCACAACCCTTGGCTAGACTCAGAAACCACTGGTGGCAGCTCACTTTCTCCCAGGACAGGGCCTATGGTCTGTCCCAGCAGGTCCTGGCTGGCCCTGAGTGGTGCCCAGCCACCCACGGGCTGTCTAGCCCTGCTCACATCTGACACTGGCCAGAGCTGTTTGGGCCCCAGGCATCATTACACAGCAAACCCCTGGGCTGGTGCCCCAAGCCTGGAATGTCCTCCAGAGCCATACATCGCTCTCGCCCAGCAAACCCCATCCCTGCCACGGGGTGTCCTGGTCCTAGTATGGGGGGATGGCAGGGTCCTTAGAGAAGGCACACGCCCTGCCCTCATCCCCACATGAGACCATCCACAGACCCCACAGGCTCTGCCTCTGAAACAGACTCCTAGTGCTCCCCCTTCCTCCCTACCTCCATGGTCACCCCTGCAGTCCAGGCTGCCACCACAGCTGGTCAGGAATAGCACTGTGGCCTCCTCCATCTGCCCATGACTCCCTGTAGCCCTTACCCTCAACAATGACCAGAGAGAGAGAGAGAGAGAGAGAGAGATCTTTCCAAAATAAAAATCAGATTATCCCCCATAACACAAACATATTAAAATTCCTCTGACAAGGCTTCTCCCACACCTGAGACAAAAACTATGGCCTACAAGGCTTTACACAATCATGGGTCCCCATTTCCCTCCTTGACTCTCCATCTTACCCTTTCCACAGCCACAACGACCTTCTGGCAGCTCCCCAAACACACCAAGCTTATCCCTACCCCAGGGCCTTTGCGCATGCTATTTCCACTGTCTGGAATGCCCTTCCCCTATCTCTTCCCATGACTGACTCATTATCTCCACAGAGACCCCTCCTCACCCTGCTTTGTTCTATTTTAATTGCATGAACAAATCTAAAGTCATCTCGCTTCCTTTGTATGCATCCTGGCTTAATATCCCTCTCAATCAGAGAAAGAGCTCCCTGAATCAAAGACTTCATCCTGCTCACTCCTGAACCCCCACCGCTTAGCATAGGACTTGACCATCGCAGGTGTTCAACAAATGTCCTGGCCCAGTGGCCACAAGACAGTCTGTGTGCTGGCCAGGATGCATGGCCACCCATGTGGGTGGCGTCTGAGACTTCCTGCAGCAGGTGGAAGCGGCCACAGGGAGGCAAGAGGGCAGGCTGATGAAACAGGGAATATCTGGCAGGCCTGTGTCACTTGTGGGAAGCATGGAGCCATCTTCCTTCAGGGACAGCCTTCCTTTTTGTCCTCACACAGGTAAGCAGCACCCCCCCTTCAAGAGGCCTGTGGCCAAGGGCCAGCCTGGCTTTCTAGAGAAGGGCTGCTCTACCCAAGAAGGGGGTGCAGATGGCACTGGCACTGTGCTGCTCAGGGAGGGGGCCGGGGTCCTGTTGCCCTTATACCCCTAGAGCAGCTAGTAGAAGCCTAGGTTAGCCCAGTGTGGGGGAGTCTCTGGAGGACCAGCGCCCGACACCCATGATGCACACAGCACATGTGGGATGCCAGGCTCTGGGAGGGTGCCTCTTTGGGGACACAGGCCTGGAACTTCTTGGGTCCAGTGGGGAAAGGGAGGCAGAGACAGAACATCCAGAGAACAAGAAACCCCGCTTGCCTGTCTCCTGACCTTGAGCTTCACGTGGAAAAATAAAGCACGCCCTGGGCACTTGCTATAACACAGCTGCTCAGGGAATTACCCCACGGGCTCCCCAGTGAACCCAGCGACCTCGGCCTAGAATAAGGTCAGGATGAGACCTCGAGGGGGCAGTGCTTCCTGCCCAGGCCCCAGAGTTGCTGCCAGCTGGGCCCTGAGCCTTATGCATGATTCTAGAAGCTCATGTGTGGGCTGAATCACATGGAATCAGAGCCTGAGTCACAGACGTGTGTACGTGTATATACAATGTTTTTGAAAATGTTTTAAAGTTTCCAACATTAAAAAACCACATCTCAGGTGAGAACATGGATTTCTGGCTTCCCTGGAAGCACAGGGGCGGGCCTGTTCTGCCCCATGGTGACTTGGCTAAAGCCAGTATGTGCCTGCGTTAGGAAGAGCAGGAGTCCTCAGATTCACTGTGGTTCCCACCATGCCCTGCCTTCTTCCCCTCCACCTGCCTGCTTCAGCTGGCCTGCCCTGCCATTCTCTGCTTCAAGTCTGCCATGGCTGCTGTGGACGCATAGACACCGCTTACCCCTCATCTCTGCCATACCCCTACTCCCCGCCGTGGCCACAGGCACACACTCACCCTCCTTGTCGGTAGGAGGCACAGGGCTCCTGCTTTTGCCTCGAGGGCTGCTGCTGGGCTGCTGGGGGGTGTCGTTCTCTGGCTGCAAGGGCTGTGGTGGTGGCAGAGCAGGGGGAGCTGCATCCTCCCGGGGGGGCTCGTGGACTTTGGTGACCTGCTGAGAGAAGTGGGAGACATGAATATCTCATGAGCCACAGAGATCGAGAATAGCCTTCCAGGCCCCCTGCACACGAGAAGCCTGAAAGCCATGGATGGCAGTGAGGTAGCCAAGAGCACATGGCTTAGGAGACAGGAAGGTAGGTCTTTGCACAAAGTGTGTAGGATGTGGCTGCCCATCTCAGCTACCTAGTAGGGAGCCCAGGCTCTAGGACCCTGTGGGTCTGAGAGATGGGGATTGACCCAGCCCTGGGAGCTGCCAGTATAGCCTAGCTCACACTGTGCCCCTCACTCAGAGAGCCCCTCAGCCCGCAGCCCCCAGCTATACTTGGGAAGCCCAGGAACGCTTCCTCAGAGAGGAAAGGGCTCCTCCAAGGGGCTGCCCATGTAGCCTGGAGATTCTTCTGGAAGGCCTCCTCAAAGGGCATCATGTTCAGAATGGGTGGGTGGGACCCCACCCTTCTCCCCACGGTGCTGTGACAGCCAGGAGATCTCCTGCCTTCCCTGGTCTGGGGGAGCTCTGGAGAACCCTTGGGAGGCAGGGTTGGGCAGGGCCACTCCAGCTCCAAGGGCCAGCAAGGGTACCCTGCTGGAAGGGTAGAAGGCAGCCCTGTGGGCCACAAGTTCCCTGGTTCCCCCAGGGCCCCACCCTGCACGACTGCCAGCTCTCTGGAGCTGTTCCTGCCTCATCTCCATGGGGATTTCTCCAGTAAACAGGAGGTTGCTGGGAAGAGCTGAGGAGAGGAAAGCTGCAGGTGCTGCCCACCCCCACCCCCATGGAACCGTGCACCTGCCCTGATATACTGCCTTATTGAACCAGAGGGGAAGGGCGGGGGCACAGAGGCTGTGGCCTTCCTTGGCAGGAGTCCTGGGGTGTGGGAGGGGGGTGCCTGGGCACTCACAATTGGGGGTATGGCAGCTGCCCGCTGCTTCAGCTGCTTCAGGTCCAGAGGCTTCTGGGGTGAGGCATTGGCCCTGGCATCACTGGTCGGGGTGAGGAGGCTGGGCCGCGGTGACAGCAGCCTGAGGGAGAGACAAGGGTCAGCCCATAGGCTCACAGCTGGCCTCTCCTGGCTCCAGCCCTATACAACTGGGCTGGAAGGACTGCCAGAAGGGAGGCAACTGTCCAGGGTCACCTGGCCGAGGATATCAACCAGGACTCTGGGTGGGGGACCAGGGGGGAAGGGGACTCCTCCCTCCCTCCTTCCTCTGGTCTCTGCTGGCTCCATGAGGAGCTGAGATCCGTTCCAACCCCAGCCCAGAGGCCCAGGCCAGGATCAAACACTCCTCTGAGAGAGCCCACAGCAGGCAAAATCCCAGGGAAGCCCAGACTTCGGGCCTGCACCATGCAAAGCCCTTTGGAAGCTATGGGAAAGCCAAAGAATCAACTAGATTAAGGTTTGGTGAGCTTAAGAGATTCAGAGAGATTATTCATCACCCGAGTGTGAGGGGCTCAGGCACCAGGGCATGGAGTTGAGTGGACCCCACTTACCAGAGGACAGGAATTGGGAAACCTACCCACTTAACCAGAATGCTCCACTAACTGGAATCTTATCATTTACATAAGAGCTTAAAGCAGGTAGACTGCAGGCTTTGTGTGGAAGGGTTGGTCAGCAATAAAACTGTCTACCTATTAGCGAAAAGTATGGCCATGAGCTGAACCGGGCCTGTGAGCACTGGGTTCCCCAAAGCGAGGTCACATCCATCTGCTGTGGATATGCAGAGCTGGGCACCAGGACAGGGCACACAGTGGGGCCGAAGCAGATACCAGGGGAAGGGTCCCTCCCATTGAGGGCTGCACCTGGGCAGAGCCTACCCTGCGGGGTGGCTCCTGAGCTGTTCACGGGTGTCACTTCCTTCAGGATGTCTTCAGGGATTTCAAGGAAATCCCAGAGTATTGGGCATAGCAACTTGCTCCAAATCCCATCTGGCTCCCTAGTTGGCATGAGGTCTCCAAAGCAGGAGCTCAATCTGCCCCAGCCTCAGACCCTCAACCACCCACTGGGGCTGCCAGGTTCCTGCCTAGTTCTTGACTCTCTCCTGCGATCTGTACTTACTGAACACACAACAGACCTGGTGCTGTGCTTGAGGAGCACAGAGACCCAGGATCCAGTGTCTGCCTGCAGGATGCCACAGATGACCAAACAGGGTACATGAGGGCATCGGCCATGGGCTGGGATTCACCCAGAGGGCCAAGCTAAGGCTGGGTCCCCCAAGCCAGAAGGTCCTGTTGGCATACCCCTGTTGTGTGCTTCGATCATACTGGGTCATTCCACGTGTAGACTGTAAGCCATAGCCACTGCCTTCCAGGTTAGAGCTGTGACAACCAGGACGTGGCTCAAGCCACTCTGCAACCCAGCAGCTGGTGCCATACCCCCGTGATGAGGACAACATGCCTCTTTCCTGTGGATGGAGCAGGGCAGACACCTGACTTGGGGCCTAGGTGCCCTCCACTCTCTATGGTGGCGGGGCTGCCAAGCCATGGCCATGACAGGCTGTCCTGCGGGTACCTGCCTCCCACCCGCATCTGCCACACGCTTGGCTGAGCAAAGACAGACGTGGTGCTGCCTGCTGGGGCTACCCAAGGCGTGCAGGCAGGGCCGGGCACAGGGGAAGGTCATCCTGACTTTTCCACGCTCGGCCGGCCTCTATGGTCCTCCCCACTTGCTCACTCTCCCTCCCGCCCTCACCTCTCCAGCCTTCCACACCCTGCTCATGCTCTGAGGGTTTCAGGGCCTTTCCTGTAGCGGCCATCCCTCCCCACTCCCCTGCACTTGGGCCTCCGGGCCCACGCTTCCTAATGGGACTAAACACTCATGTCATCAGCGGTCCTGCTGCTGCCACCCTACCTCAACAGCCACCACACCCGGTCTCCCCTCCCCTCTGCCTTCCAGCACCCATTTAAACCAACCCACATTTGTAAACTTCAATTTAAAAATGAATATGACTGTGCCGCTTTGGAAGAAGTCTGGCAGTTCTCAAGAGGCAAAACACAGTTACTGTCTGACCTGACAATCCCACTCCTGGGTGTCTGCCCAAGAGAACCAAGAACACAGGCCCACAGAAAAACCTGTTTACCAGGATGGCAGCAGCACCATCATTGTAGCCAATGGGAGGAAAGCACCCAGATACCCAAACATGGATAAAAGGATGACCAACACACGGTCTGTTCACACAGTGGACTGTGATTCAACCACAAAAAGGAATGAGTAGCTACACCTGCTACACCATGGATGGACCCTGAGAACAAGATGCCAAGTGAAAGCAGCCAGACACAAAAGGCCACATGTTATGCAAATCCATTGATATGAAACATCCGGAAGAGAATCCGCAGACGGAAGAGAGGTGAGTGGAGCCCAGGGGCTGGGGGTGGAACGTGGAGTGATGCTGAGGGGCAAAGGCTTTTTTTCTGGGGTGACGGAAACGTTCTGGAGTTCAACGGCAGTGATGGTCGCACGCCTCTAAACAGGCTCAAATCCGCTCAACTGCACACTTGAACAGCTGAATTGTACACTAGCTGAATTATTGCTCCATAAAGCTGTCATGAGAAGAAAATAAAGAACGTACTATATGCTAGCCAGGAAATCAAGAGATTGATTAACTGCACTGTTCTAAGAATGATGTTCTATTGGACTTTGTATTGGACAGGTGTACAAAAATACAAAACTACCGTGAAATATACACATTAAAGCTAAAAAGTAACATTTCATATCAGCATAAGTATGTTTTTATAACACATATGAAATGAAGTGTTTGTGTCCCACCCTGATTGCCAGCCAACGAGGGCCATTCCCTGGGGTTTGGGCCCTGCCTTGGTTTCCCCACAGCTCCTTACCCAGGGAGGGACAAGCCACACCAGAGAAAGGGGAACAGGGACTGCCCCTCAAACACTCTCAGCAAGCAACCAGTCTCAGCAGAGACCCAGACTCCTGTTTCCTGAGTCCCCCACGGAGTGAGGGCAGGAGCTCAGTGGGCCTGGGGTCATGGTGCAGCACTTCACCATTTATGAGTGGCCTCCTGATGCCAGCTCGACCTCTCACTGTAAGAGGGCAGCATCCAAGAACAAGGGTGTAGGTTCAAGTCCTTGGCAAGCCTTAGGGTCTGGAACCCCAAAGGAGCAGGAAGATACTTAGCACTGACGTGGCTCCCACTTGCCCTTGTTTCAGCAGCCGTGGCTGGTGAGCACTGCCTCCGGGAGCCCTCCTTGGGATGGCCCTGCCTGTTCTTTTTCCTTTGTTTTCTTGGAAGACAGCAGCTTTTATTTTCCTCTCGGGAGGCCGGGGCGGGTCAGGGCTCTCGGAGCCTGGCACCAGGCATGTGATCCAAGAGGAGAGGGGAGGCCGGCAACACAGCTGGGAGTGGCTCAGGGCTCATGCTCCTGTTCAAATCCCACCTTTGGCTATAGGACTAAACCACTGGGCCTTGGTTTCCCCATCTATAAAATGGGAATGAGAACAGTTACCCCCCTGCCCTCTAAGCAACCATACATGAAGCACCCTGAGCAACACCAGGGGCTGAGTGGGTCACACAATCTTAAAATCACACTGGGTTTTCTTCCCACACTGGAGGGCTGGGGCTGGGGGAGGGGGACTGGGGACACCCTGGGTCTGCAATAGGGCACACCTCTCTGCCTGCTAAGTGCTCTCCTTGGCTTCTCCATGATCACCAGGCTGAGATCATCCCTGCTGCAACTGGGGCTGGAGAGTGATGGAAGGCTGGCTGTGAACAATGTCTGCATAGACGTACTTATGTTGCTCCCTGTGGGGCCAGGTCCCTGCCCACCTGTCACTTCCTCTCCTGCCCTCTCCCTCACTCCACTCTGCCACAGGCCTCTATGCCCTCTACTGAACATAAGCTCATACAGTCGCAGGGCCTTTGCACTGGCTATTCCCTCCTACCCTCCCCCCCACACACACTATAGGCTCTGATCACCCTCCCATGCTACCTCCTCAGAGAGGCCTCCCTGACTGCTCCCCACACAGCCCCTGGCCGGCACCCCAATCTTCCCATCACCCACTTATCATAGGAGCAGCTGTTTTGTTTTTTTTTCAATGTTTCTGTTCCATACTAGGCACTCTCACCAGAAGGGAAGAACTCTGACATCAGGAGTCATCTGTACTGTTCCCAGCATCCCTCGCACATAGAAGGGCGCCCGGCACACACTGGTGCCCAATCATTTACGGAATAAAGAAATAAAAGGTAAATTGCTGTTGGGATGCTTTCAAAATTTCAGGGGCACAGTGGAAGCCACAATCTAGCCTGCTCTTGGAGTAAACTTTCAGTGTTCCTAAAACAGACCCAAAGGTAGCAAACCTAGTGTATGTGGGCCTGGCACCAGGCTGCAGTTTTTGCTATGACCTCCATTATGCTCGCAGTAAGCCCAAAAGTGGGGATTCCACACCTACCTTATAGAAAACTGAGGCCCCAGGGAAGGGGCTTTCCGAAGTCCCCAACCCACCCGAGGTGCCCAGGTACCCTCTCCAGAAACTGGGACAGAGGAGGGCAGGCAAGCTCAAGGCTCTGCACTCAAAGCCACTATCTCTGGTCGTCAGCCAAGAAAGCTCCCAGGCAGAGCTGGCTGGCAGAAGGTGACGGAAAGTAAAAGCAGAATATGATTTCTCCCCAAAGGTCGTCTGGCAGAGGCCAGGACGAGATGCATCTTGGGCCTATCCGGGGACGCCAAGCTCACCACAGCAGGGCTGCCAGGCGGGAAGGAGGGTGGTGGGCAGGCGGCCAGGACCTGGGGTCGAGGAGGGGCCCATCCGTCCCGCCAGCCCTTCCGGGAGGCTGTGGCTGCCAGGGCATGCTCTGACGCATCTTGCCTGCATGGCCACGGCTAGAGGGAGGGAGGGGTGGCAGGCGGCCAGCCAGGAAGAGGTCAGCAGGCTGGCCTAAGTCCAGCCTGGCTCTGAGGGGGGAGGACCAGCCTCGGTCACACAGGGCATGACAAACCAGGTGTCCTGACTCCCAGCCCACAGCTGCTGCTCCTTGGGGATGGAACGCTGGACATTCAGGCAGGAAGAGTGGGTGGAGCCAGACCCAGCTTGGGGAGGGAGGGATATGTCCCTGGGTGGGGCTCTTGGGGGAGAGAGGGAGGCCAAGAGTAGCCTCCAGAGCTTCAGGCATGGCCAGAGGGATCCGGGGCGTTAGCGGGGTTCAGCCCAGCCTTGGGTCTTAGGCAGGCCACGCGAACCCAAAACAGAGACTCCAGGAGGCTTATCAGCATGGTTGCCTCATGAGCTCAGCACTCTTCCCGCTAAGAGCAGAAACACGTTTCCATGACTCCGTCCTCATGGCCAGCAGGAGCAGGGTGGGGAGCCATCCACCCTGACCCCATTACCCAGGCACAAAGAGTGAACGTAGCAGCAGGCCCTGGCTGTGGGCCTTCCCCAGAGGACCGGGCCACTGCGCATACTGGTTTCCAAGGGCAAGAAGCTCAGGAACTTCTGAGCCCTTGGAAGACTGTTGGTCTGGCCTTTGCTGGTCACGGGGCTACCCACCAGACCATCTTCCTGACAGTGGGGACTCCCAGGGACTCCCGGACACAGGAAACTGAGGACAATCTGGCCCACTTCCTTCTGTGGCACATACAGAGACCCACAGAGCTCTGGATGAATCTGAGTCTCACATGAAGAGTTATTGAGCTCACCATGTTCACATGCCCCAAGGTGAATCACGGGACAGGGGAAAGGCTCCACATGAACTCGGCGATCTGAAAGTCAGATTTTCCTCCCTCTCACTCTGCCCAGAACTTTCCGAGAGACAGGAGAGGAGAGACAACAGACCACACCGGTTTTAGTCAAAATAAAAATGACCCACCTGCCTCACTAGAAAACGTTGGCCCAGGGTCCAGATGTGGGTGGGAGTGGGTCTGCACCTCTGCCCTCAGCTGCTTGGCTCGGCCCCAGCGTGGGGTACGAGCTCTGGTCCTGGCTGGGGGTCTCAGAGGCTCAGAGCCCTCGACCATCTGTGCCACACATGGGTAAAACCCAGTGCTCCAGGGGCCTTGGGTGCAAGGTGGGGACGGGTACCCCGCACCAAGAGCAGAGACAAAGGAGAGAAATGGAGGAACACATCTCAGAGACAGCAGTACCCAAAGAGGGCAGCATGGTTTGGGGGGATCCCTCCAGGCCGCCCCAGCAGGAGAGCAGCCTCAATGGCTCCATCAGCTCGAGCCAGGACAGGGGCTCCCAGTTCCTGCACCCTGACCCTTGGCAGATGGGATGTGAGCCACTAGTGAGCTCAGGAGTCTGTCACAACTGGCTGCAGGCAGACCCGCATCACTGGCTGCGGGGACATGGCAGCCATCTCCATGGGCCTCTCTGACCCCCCACTGAATTCTCTGCATTCTCCAGCTGGTTTCAGAGCCTCAGTCACACCCAGCTGACCGGGGCATTCCCCTGAGAACAATCTGCAGCCATGAGTTAGTGCAGCCTGCTGACCCTCACTGGCTCCAACACTTGGCCTGAATCACGCATGCTCCTTCCACCCCCGGGCCCCGGCACCTGCTGTTCCTGCCCTGTTAAGGATAGAATTGTGCCCCCCAGCCCCCGCCCCTCAAACAAGCTAAAGTCCAAACAGCCAGGGACCTGTGAATGTGACCTAATTTGGGTGGACCCGAATCCAATGATGGTGTCTTCATAAGAAAAAAAAAATTGGGGCCTGTAGACACAGCAGGAAAACACCCCACAAAGATGGTGGCACACGGGAGTGATGCACCTAAGAGCGGAGGAAGGTCAAGCAGGGTCGGCCATCAGCAGGAGCTGAAGGAGTAAGAGCAATCGGTGGAGCCTGCTGCACGCCTCCAGCCACCCAGCCCTGCCTGGTGCAATCCCCTCCTGCAGCTGGCCACACGCCCCGAGGGCAGGCACTGAGGCAGCCTGCGTGCTGCTGCCCTGGTGCTGGCAGGAGATAAGAGTCCCACCCGGTACGCCCACTCACCTGTTCTTGTCGCCCCCCTCGGGCTCGTCCACCTCATCTGCACTGCAGGTGGCACTGGAGTCGCTGTCCTGGGGGGCTCCGGCGCCCTTGGCTGTGGGAGCTTTGCCCCCAGGGCCGCCGCCCTCTTTCTTCTCCACTTTGAGGGCCCCCTCAGGTGTGGCCTCGACCTCCGCGCTGGGCTCAGAGCCCCCCTTGCCCTTGTCGGGCCCCTCCTCTGTGGCCTCCTCTTTGCATTCACTCTTGATGGGCTCTGCAGGGGATGCCTCACCAGGCTCTTCCGTCTTGCCCATGTCCACAGCCATCTCTTGGGCCACAGGGGGCTTCTGTTCCTCCTCCTCCGCCACCAGGGGAGCCGCAGCATCCTCCTCCTCCTTCTCCTCCTTGGGGACCACGGGAGGGGGTGCAGTGGGTGATGCAGGTGCTGGCGGAGGCGTGGGCGGGCTGGTGGTTTCAGGGGCCGGGCCAGGCTCGGAGGATACCAGAGCGTCCTCTGGCGGCGGGGTGGGTGGCTCAGGGGGTAGCACATCAGTGCCTGGGCCAGGCGGGGGCTTGGGCCCATTCTGTCCTGTGTCCTTGGCAGCCTCAGTGCGGGGGGAGGGGATACTCTCTGTGTCAGAACTGTTGTTGACGGTGGCTGTGGGAGGAAAAAGAAGAAGAGTGAGTGGTGCCGGGGGCTCAGAGGTAGAGGCAGGCACGGCCTTCCTCACAGCCAGACCTGCCCATCTCTGGTCCAGGGCACGAACTCAGGATGCATCTCAACAGCCCCGAAGCTCTGACACACTCGGGCAGCTGGCCCATCACGGTCCTGGGGCCCTGGCCTCCCCCTGCCCCGTTCTCCCCATGCTGACCCTGGAGCCCAGCCACGTCACTAACTTCCGGCCCCTGGGGTTGCTGGCACCCCTACACAGCCAGGGCTATGGAGCTTCATCTGCATTCCACCTCTGGCTCTGCCCACACTGGAAGCTCAGCCACGGTAATGCAGGCTATCTCTGGGCCTGCCTTGCTTTCGTCTGTAGAGCTTACAGGGTAAGGAAGCCAGGAGGTGTAGCAGCACAGGGTAACACTTGGTGACTATTTGCTATTGTGTCGTTAAGACACGACAACGTAAAATGGGCCGGTGAACTCTGAGGAGCCTGAGGAGAAAGGGCCCGATAGCATCCCCCATCTGCTTCCTACACGGCCCAGCACATAGCAGTGCACAGTAAGTGTTAAGTGAGTGACTGAATGTGCATACAGATGAAAGGCAAGGAAGGACAAGGGTGGCTGGCCTTCGACCTGGCTCTTCAGCCTTAAGAAAAACACTTCTGTCACTTCTTTGGGTCTCAAATTCCCCCATTTTGTGTAAAATGGGGATATCTGAAAACCCCTGCTGTTCGGAAATCAAACAAGGTAAAAGTCACGGATGAAAACACTGGTGAAAATCAAGAGAACGGTGGAGCTAAGTGCACAGATCTGTAAGAGTGAGTCAGGGAACAGCACGGGGAACAGATACTACACCGGGAGGGGGACAGAGGCCATGGCTGCACCAATGTTGGCACTCACAGAGGCATGCTCACAGAAGTGGGGCCCCTCACTGAGGACAGGTGACCTCAGGATGCCCCCCCGGCACAGCCTTACCCCTACCCCACCCCCAGGCCAGCTGGCCACATTCATACCTGGACCACTGCATTCCCCTCTGGGCACCTCGTTCCCAGAGGCGTGTAAGGCTGGAAGGAAGCGAGAGAAGGATTAGAAGCAAGGTGGCAAAAGCAACAGGCAGGAGAGAAGAGGTGGCCGTAGGGGGGGGGGGGGGACCTGGGGCCTGGCAGGCAGCCGGGGGACCCACAGTGGTCCTCATCTTGGAGTGACCCACAGGTGGCCTGCAGCAGCCTTGCCCAACAATTGGGTAGTGTAGGGTGAGGAGCCAGTCCCGCCCACTCCTGGGATAGTATCCTTGGACAAGTCACTAGCCTTCTCTGGATCTGAGTCCCCAGGACTCTAAGGGTGGGAGTGTTGACCCCAGAGGTGGGCAGGGCTGCAGGAGTGGCCTTTGGAGCCCTGGACTCCATCCCACTGCTCAGTGACAGAGCCAGGTGGGCAGGGGCTGCCATGGCCCTGGGCGAAGGCTTCCTGCAGCCTCCGCTGCCCCCATTGGCCCCTGCCTCCGCCACTGCTCACCTCCCTTCAGGGTCCACCACTCCCAAAAATCATCATTGGAACAACAGGGCTTCTTCTATGGGTGCTAAGCTGTGCAGAGCCTTTCATGCTCATGACTCATTTAATCCTCAGCAACCCCCGAAGAACAGGACAAGCGGCATCTCATTTGCAGAGCAAGAAACTGAGGCATAGAGGGGCCGAGTCACGTGCCCCAGGCCATACTGCACGGGGGCAGGAGAGGGCTGACCCTGTGTCCCGTGTCTCTAACCACAGAATTCCTACCCCTGAGTGAGGACTTGTGATGCCACTTCTTTGTTCTCACTTAACAGACATCAAGGTGTTGGGGCCAGCGTGGACACCCCTTGGACAAGTGGCTTAACGCCCAGAATCTCAGTCTGCTCATCCACAAAATGGGAGGTTATTACTAGGCCCTCTCCCTTACTGAGATACTTGTCCCATGAGGAGTTCTCAAGTGCGAGCATGCACCCGAGGCAGGGGCTGTGAAGACTCAGATGGGGGGGGGGGGGCTCACCCTCTCCCGAAGTGCTGCCTCATCAGAAGATTCAGGAGGGGCCTGAGGATCTGCACTTCTGACTAGTTTGAACCCTAGTCCCCAAGCAAGTCAACTGTATGACCATGGGTGACCACTCTGTGCCTCAGTTTCCATATCTGTAAACAGAGTGACAAGAGAACCTACTCCACTGGGTCACTGTGATGGTTCATGAGATGAACTCAAGGCTGCCCCTCTGATTGGGCTGGGGAGACCATGATCATTGCTGAGACACTGAACAGAGAATGAATCCTCTCTCCCTGGATGGTTCATCTCCGCCTAGATGCAACAAAGGCACTTGCTGCCAGCTCCCTGGAGGGGTCTGTCATGTTGCTGGGGCTGGCTAGGCTTTCTAGAAGGTTCCATAGGGGTGACCTCAGGCCCTAGCCCAGAACCTCCCTGACCAGACCCCCCCCCCCCCCATGGTCAGAAAGCACAGGGTTACATGGCAAACACAGGCTGGACTGTCCGACTCCAAGTCTACCAGTTACATGATACCCTGTGAAAGCGATTCTCCTCTCCCTGGTCCTCAGTTTCAAAGCTCATCCATGAGATGGGAGTATCACCCTGTTCCTTTGTGTGGGATTTTCCTACCCTGCTGCACAGGATCCACTCAGAGCCATCAGGTGGTCACAGAGCCTCAGCTCCACCAGACCAGCCCTCCCATCACCCCAGCACAGAATGACCCTCCTTCATCCCCTCCTGCAGTATGAGAACCCTACAAGTGACGAGGAGTTCACTACCACACAGCTCTCTTACTGGGCAGTGTCTGTTCTAGTCTTAATGCTGAGCCAAAGTCTGGCTTCCTTCTACTTTCCCACCAGGGCTGCATCCTGTCCACAGAGCAGCTGGGAGGATATTTAAAGAGTGGGATTGGGTTTCTGTTTCCTTCTCTTTTTTCTGGTTATAAACCCAGGACCAAGAAAATGAAGGCAGAGGGATTTGCAGCCCTCCATCAGACACTGGCCAGGCCTGTCACCAACTTGGACAACAAGAGAGACCCAGAGCAGAAAGGGGCCAGACTCTGTCCCCAGACCCATCCCCAACTTGAGACAACAGCAACCACATGGCCCAATTCTCTGTTTTCAACCAGGAAGTAGGGTCCAGCTCAGTGAATGCCCTGGGGGCTGGCAGAGCTTGAATGTATTTGTAGGCCTGGCTTGAGGAGCCAGGAGGTGACCCCCACCTTCCTATACCATGTTGGCAGAAGCTTGGGAGTTTGAATGCAGAGGCAGGCAGATAGAAGGAAAAGGAAGGCACTCGAGGCAGCGGCAGGGAGAAGGAAGGTTCTGTTCACTAGGAACATGAGGGCCCAACTTGGGCAGTTCTGGGCAGAAAGACAACAAGTAAGACACAGACATGCTGCTAAGCAGGGGTTGGGGTCTTTAGGGACATCATGCCATGTGGGGCAGGTACAGACCCATGTAATCCAAAATGGGGTACTTGGGAGTAACACCATCATCACCACCATCATCACTACTACCAACATCATCACCATCATCAATCACCGCCACCACTGCCATCATCACTACCATCACAATCATCACCGCCACCACCACCACCACCACCATCATCATACCACCACCACATTCATCACCATCACCACCAATCACTATCATCACTGCCACCACCACCATCACCACCACCACCAACACCATCATTCACTACTATCATCACTACCAACACCATCATCATACCACCACCGCCACCACCACATTCATCACCATCACCAATCACTACTATCATCACTGTCACCATCACGATCATTGCCACCACCACCATCACTACCATCACCATTACTACCACCACCATCATCACCACTACCACCACCACCACCACCACCATCATCACCAGTATCATCATCACCATCACCACCACCCTTATCATCACCATTACCATTATCACTACCATTGTCACCACCATCACCATGCTCTCCCTCCAAGACAGTCTAGGCTTCGTCTCAGAAGGACCCAGACACTTCTGGTACAGGTCAGTTCCTGCCCCTCACCTTCTGCCTCCTCTGCCATCTCCTCCTCATTCCCGCTCGCACCCGATGCCTCCATCTCCTCGTCCTCCACCACAGGTGGGAAGGCAGCCTCCTCACTGGCAGCAGCTGGGGCTTTCTTCTTCTTCCTCCGTGCATTCCTCTCCTTCTCCTAGGGCACAGGGACAGTGACGGTCAGATCCTGGGCCTGAGCTGTCAGCCCGGGGACTCCCTGTGCCCAAGGACGCCATAGTGCAACAGACAGCAATCCCAGATGCGTGGCCATGAGGCAACCCTACCCCTACCCCCCACCCACCCAGCAGTGGCCAAGCATGCCAGTAGTTGTTTTTACTGAGGGCTTTATTCTTCCACCAAGTCCCAGATACATGTATAGCGCAACCTGGCCTCCCGGCTGCCCTGACATCCTGCTGGGACCAGTGAGGAAGGGCTGCCTCTGCCTAAAGGGCCCCTGTGATCACTCCAGTCCCTCTGATTACCACAGCCAGAGCATACGCCTTGGAGGATACCCTGCCAGGCAGAGTCACTACGTGTGGAGCACACTAATGAGTCAACCTTCCCTGCATGTCATCTCTGCCCCTCACCAAGCCCCGGGAGACAGGGCTGGCTTGGGAATTTCATCAACTCACTATGCTGGTCTTTATATGGCACCTCCTATGTACCAGGACTGCATCAAGGCTGAGGACACACAATGAAGGAGGTAGACAGGTCCCTGCCCACAAAGGTCTTCCAGTCAAGGAGACCAACAAATAACACGTCACTTAAGAAAAAGAGACTCAGAGGTGGGGACGTGAGCAAGATGGGATGGGGGAGGCTTCTTGGAGGAGGTGACATGTGAGCTGAGTCTGAGCACTGAGAGAGCTAGCCAAACAAAGCCCTAGACGATGGTCGTCCAGGTGGAGGGAACTGCAAGCACGAACCCCTGAGGGGGGGCCCAACTCAGTGTGTTCAGGGTAAAGAAAAGAGGCTCTCACTGCAGGGCCTTTCACATCCCTCCACACAGGACCCCGGTTCCCGGAAGCCCAGCCCCCTCACTCATGGAGCCAGATGCCCACCCCCCACATTGGGGACAAACAAGCTTCTCACTCCTCACTAGCAGCTCCTGCCTTTGCACCTCACTGGGTGGGGCACTTTGGGGGGCGTTTCTTTACCTCCCATGCTGAGCCAGGCAGAGGTTCAGAGCACATCTGCTGGCTGGCTGGCTGGCTGAATGGGTGGCTTCTGGGGCTTAAACACACAGTTAACAGAGTTGGCATACAGGGGGCGGCAGAGTGCTAGGGTCTCAGGGTGACCGGGGACTCCCACAGGCGGTAGACTGGTTCCTAAGAGGGGACGACTGCCCCCAATACAGCTGGTGTGACAGGAGGGTCCCAGCCTGAGCCCCGTGGGGTCTCCGAGGAAGGAAGCAGAACCCACGACAACCCCAGACATGCCAGCAGTCTCAGTGAAGCCCCTCAGACTGGGCGAAACATCATTCCCCCAGAATCCATGTCCACCCAAACCTCAGAACATGACCTTATTCAGAAATAAGCTCTTTGCAGATGTAATTAGTTGAGATGTGGTCATACTGGATTAGGGTGGGCCCTGAGTCTGATGACTGGGGTCCTTGTAAGAAGAGAAGAATTTGGCCACAGAGGCACACGGGGAGCCATGTGTCTATAAGCCAAAGACCATCCAGCATGACCGGCCACCCTCAGAAGCTAGAGGAGCAAAGCAGGCTTCTCCCGGGAGCCTCCAGAGGGAGCAGGGCCCTATAGACACCTCCATTTCAGATTTTTGCCTCCAGAATTGTGACAGAGTAAGTTTGTATTGTTTTAAGTCACCTCTAGTTTATGGTACTATTATAGGAAACAGGAAACAAATGTACCTCCCTTCTACCAATTCCCCAGCCCCCTGGGGAAAGCCACCTTACCCCAAACATGATAGGGTCCACTCTTGGAGCAAATGCCCTATCTCCTCCAGGCACCAGCAGCTGGGCTGGGAATAGGCCTCAGGAGGGGTGCCAAAGCCCCAACCTCAGCCTGGGGGTGGGATCAATTCCTGTCCTACCACCTTCCTGAGCAAATGGGGGTCCTCTGAGTTTAGGAGCTCTGAACACGGGGAGAAAAAGGCAAACATCTGTTTGCCCATTAGTCACGGTTTCCGTCACCACCAGGCCAGGGCCAGAGCCCCACCCTGCTGAATGTCCCCTGGCCACTGCAGGAACACTCAGCTCCCCCATCCACCCACCTCCAGGGGTTGGCCCAGCCCTGCCCCAAACCCCAAGCTTCTCTCAGAGGCCCGGCTGGAGCTCATGGAGGCGCGAGAAAGTTGTGTGGCATGTGGGTTCTGTGGGTGAGGCTGAGGGATCCCCTTCTTCCCCAATCTATTTTTAGCAGACAGGGACTCACTCCTCTGCTCAGGCTGGGTGAGGCAGGCGATCAGGAGCCTGGCAGGGAACAGGAGCTCCTGGGGGCCTGGCCAGGATGTGCATCTTCCTGGGGACTCAAGTCCAGGAGGGTTGGCCAGAACCTGCAGTCCAGGACACATCAGGCCAAGTGGCACAAGTATGAGAAGTCACAGTTTCCATCAGCACAAGGCCACACTGAAAGGCTAGGATTTACTGAGTGCCTGAGGAATTACACCAAATCCTTCCACATGTGGCCCCGTACCTCCAAACCAGGAGGTGTGTGTGGAACAGGAGATGCTGGCAAAACCAGCATAATTATATCTGCTGTTAACTGAGTACCTACTATGTGCCTAGCATTTTCCTGGATTGAGTCAATGGATCTGCACAGCTGCTCTGCAGGCAAGCCAGAGTATGCTGCTCCCTGCTTCAAACTCTCCGGGGGCTCCCTGAAATCCTGCGTATAAAACCCCAAGTCTTCCCCACTCCATAATATAGCCCTGCATATTCTAGACCTAGACCCCACTCACCTCTTCAAAATACTCGTCCACCCCTACCCTCCTTGGTCATCCTGCTAGAAACACACTGGTCTCCTTGTGCAAACATGTGCATAGTGCCCCAACCACAGGGCCTTTGCACGGGCTATTCCTCTGCCTGGATAACCTTCTCCTACTAGATACTAGTATGACTCACCTCAATCAGGGCTTTGCTCAGACATCACCACCTCCTCAGAGAGGTCTTCCTTACTACCGTGTCAAAATCAGCTAATCCTCATACCCCCCCATCAATCACTCTCTACTATATCCCTCACCTTATCACCTTCAGACCACAATCAGAAATTATTTGTATGTTAATCTGTCTCTTGAAATAGAATCAGTTCCTTCTTAAGAGCTAGTAATCTTTGTTCTCTGGTATATTCCCAGGATCCCTGAAATAGGGCCTGGCATCTCCAAACAGGTGGTCTGTAACTATTTTAGATGAACTGAACTTGACAAAGACACTGGCTCAGAGAGGCAAAGACACCTTCCTGAGATCACACAGCTCCTGAGTCAAGTAGCCCAAATTTGAACGCAGGTCAGGTTTAGGCACTCTGTTGCCTGGACAAGGTCCCTCTGCAGGCCTATGCAGCCTCAGACGGAGGAGACAACAGAGGAAAACAAGGCAAGGCAGGGCCTGGGCTGAGACAGAGAAACATGGAAGCTGAGCCCCAGGGCCTGGATTTGCAGATGGGAGGAAAGGGTAACCTTCGGCCATAACAAGGGGGAGGGAAACCTCGGAGAAGTCACTACTGCCAAATGTTACATAACTGGGCCACGCTCCGCCTGCCCACCCGATCCTGCTTCCTGCTGACGTCGCCCTGTGGCCATATTCAGGCCAGGCTTGGCGTAAAGCGGGAGGGGACACCCGCTGACCCTCTGCTTCCCCTGCTCCTTCCTGCACTGGACAAGAGTGACATGTCTTTCTGAGCTCCAGACAGGGCCTGGCCAGTGGCCAGATGTGGCTGCTGTTGATTCAGGACTAGTAGGGACCTAGCTTCCTCCTGGAGCCTTGGTGAGTGCCGGGGAGGGGCAGCAGGCGGAGGTCATGGAGTTCAGCAGCATCTTGTGAGGCCTGCTTACATACTCCAGTGACAGGGAACTCATCCCTGCAGCATGGGTGGCCACTGGCAGGATGGATGGACCCAGGCAGAGCCCAACTTCCCGCAATGGGTCCCTGGAACTGCTCACGGTGATTCCTTCAAGGTCAGCTAGGAACGAGAACCAGCTGCATGCACCCAAATTGCCTTTTCTCAACAATAAGTGGTCAGCAAGATTCACCCATCTGTAGGCCTCAGGACATGGTTTGCTGGCCCCCATCTTCTGGCCTGATGTACTAGGTCCACGGCTCACCCAGTATGACTCTGCTTTGCTGGGTCCTGTGTGAGCCACGGCTAGTGGAGGATGGGTCCACGAAGGGACGCGCCTACAGACCCGGGGTCGAACCCCCTCTGTGGTCTCCTGGCCTCATCACCCTGTAGTGGTCCACCCATCAGTACTCAGGATCAGACAACGAGGAGGGCAGCCTTCTCCGTCAGTGTCAGCTTTACTTCTCTCAGACCAGTACAACCCACTTTGAGCCTAGTCCCGGCAGATGGCTTCCCGCTGTCCCCTAAAGGAATGCCCAGCAGAAAAACCCCATGCACACTGCTTCCCTGGCACCCAGTGGGTGCTCAAGAAAGGCTCACTGCACAGTGAGGATGATGTCCCACACACCCTGAGCTCTGGCCCAGGGCCAGGCACTGCCCCACATAGGACTCCTCTGCTCCTCACAACCCTAAGGGTGGGTCCTGGTCTTCCCTTCCCTCTACAGGGAACACTGAGGCACAGAGGGGGGCGCCGTGTGCCTGCAGGCACCACCCAGCTGCTGACACTGCTACGGTGTGGGCCCTCTAGCCCAGAGCCCTGCTTTACACCATTCTGCTAGGCTATCTATTCAGATGAAAGACACTGACTGGCTCAATCAATCAATCAATCAGCTGACCAATCACTCACTCAGCCAGTCCAGGAGTAGCTGCTCTCCATATACAACCAAGCACCCAGGGAGACACGAGACCTAGCCACGGGGTGTCTGGTGGCCATGATACCATCACAGCTGTGGCTCTCACCTGTGGGGCACTCAGAACGTGCCAGGCCCTGTTCTAAGCCCTTACATCCATCCACTCAGATGAGTGCCATAAAAGCCCTCTGAGGTGGGCACTAGTATTGTCCCCACTGTATAGTTGGGAAAACTGAGTACAGAGAGAATAAGTTGCTTGCCCAAGGTCACACAGCTACTAAGTGGCAAGATCTGGATTAGAATCCGGGTCTTCTAGGCCAGAGTCCCTACAATGGCTGCTCCTGCACACCCCATTTGAGAGAGTGCCTCCCACACCCCTAAGAAAAAAGGGGGATCAGTGGCTTTAAAATAAAATACTACCACTACTACTACCACCACCAGTGGTAGCAGTCAGGGCAGCCACCCCTCACAGAGTGCTCCCCTCTGGCAGACACTTGGGTCCTCAGAAGTGGTGACTCATTTAATCCTCAGCAGAATTCTCGGGGGTAAGGGCCGTTATGCCCCCACTTTACAAAGGACGAAACTAAGGCTCGCTGGGACAAAGCTGTCACCTGAGGTCACACAGGTGCCAAGTCATCAAGCTGGGACTTGGTCCCACTCTTACCCCTGAACCCACACTCAGGTTCTGGGGTCCCTGGGGGCATAGCAGGACCGTGCCATGAGGGAGTCTGGGAGAGGAGGCCTATACCCCCAACAGCCTGAGTCATGGCTGGGCTGGTGTCCATGTTGGCTGGGAGGAGCAGGGGCTAGGAGGAGGAGGAGGGGAAGGGCAAGAAGACCACCTCTTGTCAGGACTGCCCACCCCCTCCCCCGCAGTTAAATCTCTAGCTGCTACACACATAGGCTGCTCCCCTTGGGCTCAGCCATCCTCCTGCTCTAAGGGATTTCAACAGGTGTTAAAGACAAGTGCTCTGTGCCCTCAGGCTTTCATAAGACTTCCTCCCTGTGGAAACCAGAGTCCTAGAAAATCCAGGAAAAAGTAGAGCTCCTGGTGTACCAGGAAGCACTGCCAGAAGCTCAAGGAGCAAGGAGCCCAGAAGCTGAGCAGCAGGCAGGGAAGGTGAGGGTGGTCTGGCTTCACCAGATATGATGGGCAACAGGGAGTAGACAAGAGCCCAACTGGAGATGAGGTTTGGCCTCAGCGCTGCCCACAGGGGCATGACACAGTCTCCGCTGGCCTTGAGCAGCCAGCAGCTGCTTACATACTCAATCCAGTAAGATTCCCACCCAGGGCAGCCGAGGAGGGTGCCCTTAAACTCTGCGCGGCACTCAAGCACAGTTCAAGTGGGGTGATTCTATGCCCGGCCTGCCTGCCATGCCAGGTGACCTCAGTAGTCTGTGCATCTCAGCAGGCTGCATGGGAGCAGCAGTTCAGGGCCGTCTCATCCCAGGACAGGCTGCCTGTACTTTATACACAGCAACAGGCAGCCTGATGGAGGGGAGGGGGCAGCAGGCAAGGGGGGCCTGAGGAGGAGAGCTGCGGACCCCCTTCTTATACCTTCACATATATAAGGAAATACGCAGCCTGGTGATCCAGAACACGGGTCCCTGGGTCATACAGGTGTGGTTGACCCAAGTCTGTTGTTTATGAGCCTTGCTGAGCCTCAGTTTCCCCATATCTGAAATAGTGACCATGCAGGCATGTTGTAAATGTGTCCAAAGGGGCAGGAGTCAGGGAGGGAGGAAGAGAGGGGGTGGGGAAAAAGAGAAAGAAAGACAGAGAGGAGGAAGGGAAGAGGCTGCCCCCCACCCGGCCCTCCCTTCACAGTATCAGCTGTGGAGGAAGCAGTCTCTCCATAGAGACCATTTACATGCTCAGCAAGGCCAGCCCGCCCTTCTCGTGCTCCTGGCCTCCCCCGGCCTTCCCTCGAGGCCAGAGGGCTGCAGGAGGGCGGGGGGAGGCCAGGGCTGGGCCCACTGCTCCCTGACCTGCCCTCCCCCCTACTGAGGCGGCCCTAAGACTATGAGGTCAAACAGGATGGGAGAGACACATGCTTGGGGTTCATCTGCCTCTGGGCCTTCGTTCTAAGGCACTGACTGCCACGATCCTTGATGAGGCGGTGTCTGGCCCACGGTGTTCCTTCCCCACACACCCAGAGGTGTGGAACCCAGGAGAGCAAGGGAGCGGAGGCAGGGAAGCAGAAGGATGGGCCTGGCACACAGAGTCGGCCCAGTGCCCAGGAGGGGATGTGCAGAACACAACAATCCCTGCAGCCAGCCCAGGGTACCCCCAATCCCGAGGTGCTGGTGAATACCTGCTCCCGACCCAGGGCACCCAGGGTGCGGCCCCCCAAGAGACCCCAGGAGGCAGGGCAGAGTGCTCACCATCTTCAGCTTGTGTTGCTGCAGGATCTCATCCAGATTCTGTCTCTTCTTGTAGTTGAAGTAGAAGTTCTTACACTGAGACACCGTCTTGGAGCCCACCATCCGAGCGATGGCCGACCAGTTCCGGCCGTGTTCCAGAAGACCTGTGGCAGAGGGCGGCAGGTGAGGGGCGGCAGAAGGCCTGTGCCCACAGCCTGCAGCCCGGACTGAGGCTCTGCACGCGGTTCCAAGGCTCTGGAAGCAGACCAGTGGAGGTGGGGGGCGCCAGAGAGATGGGTATGGCCACCTGGCTACCCCCATCCCCCACCCAGGCTACCTGGGCAGGGCCCAGGCTCCAGGAACAGAGAAGAGAGGGGCAAGGGGCTGTTCGCCCTGGGTGCACCCCTCCTGAGACCACCATCGAGGATTCTGGTGACTAGGAGCTGAGGTCTGGGCACAGACCCCGCCCAGGCTCCCACCTCCCCTGCCTCCCCTGGCTGTCATGACCTAGCACTGACACTCCCTCACAGCTGCAGATGAGGCCTCAGGCCTCGGGAGACAGTGTTGTTTTCCGGCCGCACCAGGCCAAGGCCAGAGGAAAGGAAGGAACGTGTGAGCAGGGGATGGAGGGTGGGGTCCAGGCAAGTGTGAGCTGGAGCCAGGAGTCTTCTTCACCCAGGTTAACTGGGGCACCTTTGGGCCTGGGGCCCACCATGGGCTTGAGGCCCACAAGGCTGGTTCAAGGGTCTGGGAGTAGAACGGCCCCCCAAAAACTGGCCCCCCCACGTCTGTGAGCTTTCACAGCCTCACAGACTCCTGATATGGGGAGAAATCCCCAAGAATCAACAGACTCCATCCCAAACCCACCCAGGTCAGAGAAAGTTCTCCCCAGCCCCACAAACTCGGGCCAGGGCCATACTCACCCCCACTCCATACCCTACTCTGGTTTCAATGCTGTAAATACCAGTCTCAGCAAAAAACACAGCCTCCTGCTCACAGAAGCCACACATGGGACACCTGGCCCCCGGTCTCAATCCACCTGCCCACGGAGCTCCTGGCACACACAAGCACGCCACACGCAGCAGCATCTCTTTATACATCGGCAACATGCCCTGTGCGGCCAGGTCAGCCTGAGCAGGTAGGCTGGCCACTTCCCGGTGGCTGCCCGAGAGACAAAAGGCAGGCTCCAGATCTCCAAGGGCTGTGGGGCAGGACTGAGCCCCCAAGGGCAGCAGGTGGGAAGCCTGAGTCACACTGGAATACAGCATCCTCTAAGCCCCAGAGCTAGACTTTTAACGGCTAACGAAAGATTTCCCATAATGAAGTTTGAGGTCATTTTCCTTGAATCAAATCAAGCTGCAAACAGGGAGGCTACGACTGGAATTTTGTAGGGGTACAGGAGCTGGAGGGGCCAACAATCTGCGTGTTTGCACTTTCTGTGCCTCGTTTGTCCGTCCATCCATCCATCCATCCATCCGAACATGTGCCAATAGCTCACTACACACACAGCTCTCATGAAAATAAAACTGCAAGAAGAAACGACAAGACGCCACATCACACGGCCGAGTGACCTGGAGTTTGCAGAGCCCTTCAGAGACGTGATTCCATCTCACCCCTGCTACCGAGGCCGTGACTGTCCCCATCCCTAGATGGGAGAAGGAGCCAGAGCCACTCTTGAGCTTCTGGGGACAAGCCAAGGGCAAAGGGGGAATGAGGACCCAGGTTTTCTGCTCTCCTGCCTCTGGACACTGTGGGGTGAGGTGGTGCCAGCCCGACAGGCCACCTGCTCCCCTGCGGAGGCTATGGGCCACGTGGCTCCACAGCGGGCTCCTCAGGGTTCCTCAAGGACAGGCTTGGAGGGAGGGCTGGGGCATGGGATCAAGTGTCACCCAGCCCCCTGACCTTTCCCTCAGCCTGCGCCAGCAGCAGCTGCCACTTCCACAGAACCTGGCGGAGGACGATGGGACGCGAGTTTATTTATATTTCCCCAGCCGGGGCCAAGAGAGCCCAGGCAAACACGTCGGGCCAGAACCCTGGGCGGGAGAGGGCGGGTCTCCCATCTGGGCCTGCTAGAGCAGCGGAAGGGGGTGGTGGTGCAGGGGTTAGCTGGACCCCAGAGAGGTTGGCATTTCCAAACTCAACACATCAATAAGGAGGTGGTTTGGAGGCTGGCCGGGGATTTAGGGTCCTAATTAACTCCACTTGTGGCAGCAGCAACAGCAGAAGGTGAGGGTGACAGGGTCACCCAGCCCTTCCCTAAAGTGAGTGGTGGCTCAAAAGGGAGTACTGTTTGAGGCTGTCCAGAAGCCCTGGCCTGGAAAGTGCTGTGTAGAGTCAGCCACCCACTCCGTCCCAACCACCCACTTGGGTCTTGGTTCCCTAGCGGCTTTGTGAGAGGCTGGGGTGAGTGCCCTCATACAACTGCCTGGGACCCCCTGTGGTTCCTGCTCCCAGGCTGAGGATGCTGGGCACAGCCTCACTGAGCCTTGCAGACCACCAACACTAGACCTGGCTGAAAGCCCCCCAACGCCCATCCACCTGAAAAGCGAGAGTGCACCTTTGAGCATGCGCCAACCAAGACCCCCAGGGCTTGCCCCAAGCAAATGGAGGTCCTGCCCTCCCACCCTAAAAGCCCCTGCCTGACAGCCAAAGAGGCAGGGGGAAGGGGGCCCCAGGCAAAGGATGGGGATGGGGTCCCCCAGGTGAAGAACTCCCAAGTCCCGGGCCTGGTGGCCACAGCCAGGTCCCTGTCACCAGCTCCCAAAGCAACCCCAAGCCCCTCCTGGGGCCTCACTCACATCCTCTCATCTGCGTCTCCCCCTCGGCCAAGTTTTCCGGAAACATACGGCTTGGAGGATGCTCCAGGGAGTGGAGCTGGGAGCAGTGGGCTGGGAGGCGGGAGGCTGGGCGGCCCCGATGCCGATGCCGGCTCTGCGAGGCTTGTGGCTGGAGCAGGCTGTGGCTGGCGTCTGCTCCGGCTCAGCTCTGCCTCACATCCTTCTGTCCAACGGCGGCAGCAGCGGCAGTGGCGGCGGGCGGGAGGGAGGGAGGGAGGGGGAGGAGGGAAGGAGGGCGGGCGGAGGCTGGCTCAGAGAAGGGCGGGGAAGCAGCTCCGCACCGCCCGCCCCTGGTGGCCCAGGGCTCCTACCACCCGCTCCCCGGCGCTGCCAGTCCTGACATCGTCCTCCCCACTCCCCCGCAGCTGCGGGCGTGCGAGGTGCCCTTCGCCGATGGGGGCGGGCGGCGGAACTTGTCAGTTGTGTGCTCGTGCCCCGTGCCAGGCGTCACCAGGGTGCACGGCGTCCAAGGCTCCTCCAGGCACAAGTGCGCCCTGAACAGGCGCTCAGCAAGGGGTGCTGGCTGGGAGCCCCCAGTCCCCGGACACCCTGCTGGGCGGAACCCAGAGAGCCAAGCCTGACGGGGCAGCGGTGTCCTGAGCCGGCTCGCCGCGCCTGGGCTGGATCTCCCCGCTGCCTGACCCAGCGAGAGACGCGTTGTCAGGGCTGAATGTGACCTCCAGACGGAGGCTCGCGGGAGCAGGCGGGCGGGGGAGCGTGGCAGAAGCCCAGGTTCAGAAGGGGCGGGCCAACTTGGCACTGGCTTCCTCCTCCCTCTCTCCCCATCCGTGGCGGTGGCGGCGTCAGCAGCAGTGGTAAGAACAGATGAGGGTTCAGAAAAACAGAGCTTCTCCACCCCAGCAGACGGGGAGCAAACAGCTTCTTCCGCTGTCATTCCCCTGCGCCAGTTCCACCCGCAGTCTGCCCCCAACCCGGCCCGATGCTGCCACGGCTGGCCAGGCTCTCCGTGGGACACTCTGGACGTCTGGGACCGCAGGAAGGGGGCCATGCGGTCTCCTTCTAGCACCCGCTGGTCTGTGGGTGGGCAGGCCTGGCTTCACATTCCAGGAAGAAGCTCAGGATTTGAGGAGCCTCTTTCGGAGTGCAAATGAGACCTCCAACCACTGAGGGCTGGGGGAAGGGCTTCAAGATCCCAGATGGTTCTCTGCTGCCTGAGGGTCTCTGGACCAAGGCCGCCTCTTTCCACTCTCTGTGAGGCACCCCTGACAACCTGAGCAGCCTGGCCCCATATAAACACCTGCTAGAAAAAGGTCATAAGCAGCTCCTGGGAGTTTGAAAGTTAACGGGGTTGAACTTTGGAGCCGGATCCAGGTCATGACCGATTTCTCCAACTCCAGGGTCACTGACCTGCTTGTCCCTTTAGCCCTCAGCTTTTATGCCCTGCCCATAGGAACCCAAGGAACGACGGACATCCCTGACGCACCTCTGCACCCAGCCCTCATCCTGGGATCCCAACCATGTCAAAGATCTAGGACTTTCTGCTTAGTTCCACAGTCCATACCCTGCAAAGAAGTCCAAGTGAGCTTTTATGAACGCCAATCCCACAGTGTCTCTCCTCTACTTAAAATCTTCCAACGACAACCCATGCCTCTCTGAATAAAATCCAAAGGCTCCTGTGTGGTACGTGAGGCCCTGCAGAAGCAGCCCCACCCCCATGGCCAGTCTGCTTCCTACTTCTCCCCTTCCTCACCCACTCCAGCCACCTTTTATGGCTTTTATGGGACCTTTTATATGCCCAGCCCTTGAGTGTGACCCAGGACATCTGCACCAGCTATTCTCTCTACCTGCATGCCTTTTTCACAAACCTGACTCTGTCCTCCTTCAGCTCAAGTGATACCTCCTCAGAGAAGCCTTCCCTGATCAGTTTTTTTGAAGCCATCCCCCTAGACACCCTGCCATCATGAGGCTTTATTACCTCCAGGGAACTATCGCTCCCAGAAATTAGCTCCTTTGCTCCACTGCTCACTGACTGTCATGTCTCTGCACCCACAACTGCTAGGCATGCAGAAGGCACTTGGCAAATGAACAAAGTTCCAGACCCCCAAGGGTCTGGGTCTCATCTCTCTGAGGCTCCTGAGAAGGAGCTCCTGAGAGGAGGGGGCTGACTGTTTATCCCAGCAAGGTCCCCTGGACCATCACCAGATGAGGCTGGAGACAATGCCCACCTCTCACAGCCAGGGGCATGCCCATAAGCATTCTGTGCCTATGCCCAGATGGCAGATTCTCCCAATGTCCCCTGCGGTCTGGATTCCCCGACCTCACTTCTAATTTCTAAGGAAAAGAGTTTCATTCTGAAGAGTCAGGAG